CTCTCGCACCCTAAGCGAGAATCATACCCCTAGACCAACGAGCCATATTTTTCTCTGTGAAAGGAGGTTACAAATACTGTTTTCCTACTCTTTCCAGACCTGTACTTAAGTTCTGTTCTGGTGATGTGGCATCTTACGGACCCATATGTTATCTGGTCAAAGAGCGCCCTCTGCTGCTCAACATTTTATATCCTATTCAGCACTTGTCCTCTGAGCTCTTCTTTTTTTTTCTTTTTCTTTTTTTCTGCTCCAGCTTCAGTTTATTTCAAGATGGGCTGTTCTGAGTCAGAGGCAAACACTTCTGCTGTAATAATTAGGAAGTCACAGCACTAACCACACAGCATTTACTTTTCTTCTTGGTTGTCTCAGCTGTCAAAGCTGTCAAGTCAGGTTTATTTGTACAGACCAATATCACATATCAAGTCTTCTGTATTGGAAAACAGACACTGACACACAGGAGATCAAATATAGATACTTCTAGTAAATGAGTATAGCTTGAGCACACTGACAGGACATATTCCTGTTTCTACAAATGTACCTAATCTATATGTTGTATTATAAACATTTATCTTCCTTTATCTAGAATGTGAAACAGAATAAATTATATAAACCGTACCTCTTCAAGTCAGTGGATCATGAATCTATTCAACAAGTGTGAATTTGTATCCATTGTAATGCAATTAATCTCTTCACAGCCTTCTCGTGTGGAACGGTGCCTCCTTATTGAGGTTATTTTGGGCAAATGACTTCAATATTGGCTGCATATCTCATGGTGCAACCTCAAGTTGAAAACTCACCCATTTGGCTGTCCCCCAAACTCTGCTCAGGATTTGCACCTTTTGGTTCATTTGTTCAGCTTGCTGTTTCCATTGTTTCCCCTCAGCACGTGAGCTCAAACAACAGCTTCACATAAAAAAAAACTTACTGCCTTTTTTTTTTACGCTTCCTGATTTTGCCCTGGTAACAACGTATTTAAGGTCATATCGCTATGAATTTGGGGTATTTACCCCAGGCAAAGACTTGCTGAAAGATTTCATAAAGGGCTCGATCTGCGAGGGCACCCTCAAGAACTCGACTCTTTGACAGACAGCCCTAAAGCCCTTACGGACTTAAATTAACCTATATGTTTCATCAAGGTGGGTTAGAGCGCATGTCAAAGGATTTGTCGGTTTATTTGACTTGACCGTCAAACAGCGATCACATCAGATCACAGTGAAGAAAACGGACGAACCTGCAATGTGTCCAGGTGAGACCCAAAGGCTGACAAATAAAGATGGTGTACATATTTTCTAGAAAAATGCTGCATTTTATACCTTCGAGGCACCAAATGTATTTTAATTCATCGAGATTAAGTGACAGTGATTTTGACTTTCTTTAACACGAGTTTTAGTCATTTTTTTGTGGGTGCATTGAAGGGACATGAGAAACACAGCTCTCTAGGGTGAGTGTTTGGCTCTTAAAAGAGCCTTTGAGGTTCTGGTTCCAGCAGTCAGAGAGGCTCCAGGCAGTGGCGGCTGGTGGAACATTTTCTAGCGCTGTGCCACATCGAATCAATTTCAGCAAACATCCCAGAATGATTTAATGGAAAACAAAAATGAAGGTATCAAACACGCATTACTACTTTGCAGTTAAATATTTAACTTTTATTCAAACTTTTAAAAAAGCAGTAAAAATAACACTTTGACAAACACGTCAGGACATCTTATTAATGTCACCCTCACAAGCAATTCAGTATAATATATGTATAGCATATAATAATATTCAGTATAATATAATATATATATATCATATAATATTCTGTATAATATAATATATATCATACAATAATATTCACTATAATATAAAACACATATATAATGATTTATTTATAACTATATATCCATTTATCAGACAGGTGATCCTTCATATCCCTCACTCCCGTAACTGTCCATGCTGGATCTGTCCCCGTTGTTTTAAGTTATTAGCATGACTAGATCTAGCTAGCCAAACCTTTCTGGTGTAGCCTACAGCTACTGGAGAAGCTTCCATGTACTGCTTCCCTTTCCCGCTAGTCTGCTGTCTGATTGTGGGGTCAGGATGATCTGATATCAGCTCTTTCACCTGCAGTTTCTCCGCAAAAGTTCTCCTCTCAAACGGGTCTTGGAGGAGCAGTGCTCGCGCTGGCGCAGGCCTGTAGAGACTACTCCTGACGAGAACGCGCAATTTCGGGCTCTACAGATTCTGCCCCAAGCAGAATCTATTTGAGGACGCTGATTGGCTAAATTGTATGTCACACATTTATATCTTTAATCACCAATTGGCTAAACTGCTTCATAGACCCGCCTCCTGTGGGCGCTTTCTCCAGCGCCCTAGAGCTGCTGAGACGTGCAGGAAATTAAAGCATACATCTTGCACAGATTATCATATTTTAAACATATTACTGGGTGATTCCATACTTCAAAAACACAAATATTGACATTTGTATAATTTATAATTTTTTATTATTTGTGGATCAAGGGGGGGTGGTGCCCTAGCGCCCTCTATTAACCAGCCACCAGTGGCTCCAGGTTTACTTGGACTTGGCGGCCTTCTCGGTCTTCTTGGGCAGCAGAACAGCCTGGATGTTGGGCAGCACGCCGCCCTGAGCGATGGTCACTCCGCCCAGCAGCTTGTTGAGCTCCTCGTCGTTGCGGACAGCCAGCTGCAGGTGGCGGGGGATGATACGAGACTTCTTGTTGTCGCGGGCAGCGTTTCCAGCCAACTCCAGGATCTCAGCGGTCAGGTACTCCAGCACAGCCGCCAGGTATACGGGGGCGCCGGCACCGACACGTTGCGCATAGTTTCCTTTGCGCAGCAGCCTGTGAACACGACCGACTGGGAACTGGAGCCCAGCACGAGAGGAGCGGGTCTTGGCCTTAGCTCTGGCTTTCCCTCCGGTTTTCCCTCTGGCACTCATCGTTGGATGCTTTTAGAGAAATGAACGTTGACCAATAACCGAAACCCTCTTTTATACGTCCGCGGAGCGCGTGGGACGTTTCCTGACAAACAGACCAACCAGAAAAGAGGCTTCCAGCAGAAGAACAGAGGGCGGACCACTCTGCATTTTGGCGGGCAATGTGAAAGCATTTTCCGCCAATGAGCAGCGGAAACTCGGGCGGTGGGTCGCTGCTCTGGGCGGGGCTGAGCTCCAGGAGGAGCCCCTCACCAATCAGGAGCCGGAGGTCTGAAGCTGCGTCACCATTTCACAGCCGGTCCCACAGCTTAAGAGCAGCGTGTCTCCTCTTTGACTCCTGATCAGAGAAAGAAGAAGAAGTCATGGCAAGAACCAAGCAGACCGCTCATAAATCCACCGGAGGCAAAGCCCCCAGGAAGCAGCTAGCCACCAAGGCTGCCCGTAAGAGCGCCCCGGCCACCGCGGCGTGAATAGCTCATTCCTCAACACTGCATAATATATTATAATATATAAAACATACATTTGCGAATACTGGTTTCGGCAGATACTTAACACATGCCATAACAATTCTGTGCATGTGTATTTCTGTAGTTGTTAATCTTTAACGGCAAATGCCCAGACTGTCAAAACGCAATGGGCAAATGAGGAAACATCCCTGACATGTCTTGAGTTCATTCAATTCAGTAAACAATACAATGACGTAGTTCCTTATTTCTGAAATGTTAAAGTTCACGTGAGCCTGCGTAGTGATTTTTTTATTAGCAACAGTTTGAGTGGACAATAAAATAAAGTATTTTTAAGGTTGTAAAATGGTTTATCACCAAGTCGTTTGTTAATCTCTCTCTTATTTGAAACGTTGAAACTTTTTTTCCATGTTCATAAAACAGTTCACAACATAAACGGATTGCTAAGGTCTAAATATACAACGTTCTAACAGATAAAGTGCTGTGTGATGAAGTGCTCATATTGATGTCAGTATGTGCAGGGGAGACTGACCTTTATCTCAAGTTCTCAGTTATTGCTAAAGAGCTTAATTTATTAGACATATGGAGTGAAATATATATATACATAATTCGTTAATGTCCAGTGATTTAAGGAGCAGGCATTAATTCACCATTTGCTGCTCATAATTCAATTCATAATATGTCCTCCAATTCACCAAAAGACACAATAGTTTCAATGACACACAGTCATTGAAACTATTGATACATTAGAACCCTAGCCCTATTTTTAGGCCTCTGCTCAAAAATTGCATACCCATACTAAAAAGACTGTAAATCACAAGGTCTATTTTAATAATTTTGATGGTATAATACAGGTAACACTTGTGAGATGTGTTCAGATGTGTAAATATTGTGTATATGTTACTGGTAAATAGTGAATGGCACACAGCTCAAATTGAAAAGTTTCAGGTTCACCTGAAAAAAAAGCACTGCAAGCATGAATATCTTTTTTTATTGATGCAGGTGAAAGCTAAAAACTCGCCCAAATCATAGCACATGTCAAAAGTCTCTGCAAATTTTTGCTTTGATAAAGTGAAGCAAAAAAAAGTTAGAGGTTTTAGTACAGAGAGGTCACGGGAGGTCGAGCTGATTTGTCATTTTGGAACCAGCTGTTCCAGCTGTTCCATTGTACTTTTATACACTATATAACTATATATTTCACTTGTTTTATCACTAATAGTGTTCAATCCATCTAAATACAGCAGGTTGGCATAATTTTGAGAGCCTGGGGCCTCTCTAAACCCTGTCTGTGTCTGTGAACCACGGATCAATTCTTGTCTGCCTGTGTGTATGTGAGGCCTTTGTCAGCCTATGATTGGCCAATTCCAGACTATGACACCTCTTTAGACACGTCAGAGTCTCAGGAATGCAGGGGTTGTAACATGGGCTTGATTGACAGAATCATTAGCCGGAAAAAAACAGAAACGGGCTGTGTTGCCCTGCTTAAAAACCGATTCCCCCGAAAGTGAATTCCCTTCCCCCCGTTCCCCCAGGCTTGTCTGACCCCCCTTTCACCAGGAAGCAGTTGAAAAACACAGGAAATACGTAGCAACAGTGTTTTTAGCCGGCAAAACGGAATATGAATCCTTTTTCTTCATGAATCATCTCAAAGTAAGGAGCATTTATGGTTTCTTCTGCGGTGGAGCGCCTTGGTTTTGTGGTGCTTGTTGGCTGTATCTTTGTAATGGTTTCACGAAGAGAAATTCTGAAAATATCTCTGGATTCTGTGTCGAATGCTCGTGCTTTTTGCTATCTCGGTTGTCCGTGTTAGCGGTTAGCTTTTTGTTTGCAGCTTTGTACGGAGTGCATGGCTCGCTGAGTCATGGCGAAAAAATACGTGATATTGTGGTATGTCTTCTAGATATTATATTAGTTTGTGTATAATTGTGTTTGCAGTGTGTAAAATGGCTTGCATTATGTTTTTGCCCAGAATTTCTTCGTTAAGTCGGTATATAATGTGTGTAGCATTCATTATATTTGTTTCTGAAAAGTGCATTCTACTACACGCTCTTCGCTAAACGGTCTCGCTCGAACCCCAAATGGTCCTCGCTCGGGCTTAAACCGTTTTAAATGTTAATGGTGCAAAGTTCTAACATGAAAATTACCAATTATTTCATGAGATACAGTATAGTGACTTCTTCTGTCCTCTAAACCCTTAACAGCAGCTTAAACTTCATAGATTTTGGATCCTTAAATAAACAATTTAAGATGAATTGAATTAAAGATTACATTAAAAATTAAAAAGAATACATCAATGGAATTTACATTTCTCAGCACGTTTTCTAAAATGTGTCTCATTATGTAATTAAGTCATTATCAAGCTCTCTAATTTCCACAAACAGGTTTTGTTAGCTTGGGCTTAATCTATAAATATAACTTTGTACCTCGCAATTTATACATTTGGAACAATGGCAATATTCTATTCAAACAAATCCATATTCCAAAGTGGTATAATATTAGTGTGTTGGTTGTTAAATTGTCATGGCCTATTCACTCCAGATATAATGTTCCCATAACTCCTGGATATGCATATCATATTGGAATTGTGTTTTTTATACGGTGGAATAAATGTTTTTTTTGATTTTGTTTGAGCTGTTTACATTGATATCAGTGAACTTACAAAAAGAGAATTTCACAGAATACAACGTCTGTAAATTGCAACCTGAAACTGTCTCTCACTTATTATGGACCTGCATATTCACACATAGACATTAATAAATCCTTCATAGCTAATGATGCCATTCAAAACATGTACCGTTTCCCTTTACATGGTAAAGATAATGCCTCTTATTTCCTCGTCAATTAATTTTGTTTTACTAACAACATTTTTTTTGCTGTATTTTTGAAGCAACTTTAACATTGTAATGTTAAATTATTATTATTATTATTATTTCAGTTATTTTGAGTCTTGTTTCTGCATGTATAACTATTTCCCAGTGTCATCACTCGATGGCACTGTTGCCTTGTTTGTAGTCCGTTGCGTTTGACTTCAGCTGCAGAAAAGCAGGTCGGAACTAAAGTCGCAGGTCGAAAAATCGTGACGGGGTGTTTTCACGGTGACACAAAACGTCATTGATTTGGAGCAGTAACACCATATCAACTAGCCGAGCTTGGTAAGTTTATGTGACGCAGAAATGACCTCGCTTGGTATGAAATAGTCATTATCTGAAACTCAAGTATGCTCGGTTGTGCAGCAGGAAGTATTGGTTTTCCAACATGACACGATATTGGGCTACTGACAGCGGAGACAACCGCTTGCTTAAACGGTAATGAAGCTAAAGCTAGCCGGGGGTTGCAGCACACAAGGCTCCTGCTTGTCCACAGCGGAACTAAGCCAATGAGCCTGACTGTTGTATTGCAGATCGGTTGCTGCATTGATTACAAATAATGGTATCGTTAGCTGAGTGTGTCCTTACAAGGATTGACTTTAGTGGCTAGTCTTGTTATCATAGCATTGGGTAGCGGTGAGTGGATCAACAGGGCCGCCGATTCAAACGAAAAGCTTTGGGCCATTCAGCGCTCCTCGTATTTAACTCGACCGTCACCTCGCTGCAAATCGGCTGTGCTATCCTTGTGAGTTTCTTCTGCAGTCATCGTTGACGACAAGTTCTTTAAATGGCTATCGTCTCAATTACTTGTGATGATTAAAGATGACCACAAGGGAGAGCCAAAACCTTAACGTTACTTGTTGACTCCAGTTTAGTACACTATTGAAATAACGGAATTTAAAAAAAAAAGTCTCTCAAAGTCTGTGGTTATCTAGTTGTAGTGTAGTGCAGTCTTTTTGGTGATCGCATTGCAGCAGTGTGTCACCGCCTAAGTCATAAAACAAAAAATAGCAACATACACTCAAAACACGGTGACATATTTGTGATAAAATGGGACCTTGGTTCAATCTATTTAGTTACACTTTTACAGAAATCCAACACGAATGAATATGAAGAATGTATGGTAAAAGTACCAATGTATGGAAAGTGTAGCTTTGTAGATTAAGTTCAGGGCTCTAATGGGGCTATTGTGTTTCGATCCCAAAACCAACACATATAAACAGATCCAGTCATTACTGCGTCCTCTGTGGCATAAAGACAAATTATTATGGCATTTGTGACTATAAACGCACACATATAGTAGCAGTGTGGTATTGCTCTCTCCATCGGGCCATTACACATGCATGTTTAAACTTTATTAGCTGCATTTAGTCAACAGATGCATCACTAAATGTAGTCTTGGCTGGTTTCAATTGATTCATACGTGCCTAGTCTAGATGTGGGTTTTGCTCAAAACTGAGTATTGATGGCATTGCAACAGGTTTTTGGAGTCGCACTCTAAAAGAAAGGTGTGTTTTTTTCTTTTGGTCAGCTGTAATGGAAGAGGGAGCGGCAACAGGCGTCGACCTCAGCAGGAAGTTTGTGTCAGAATCTGAGCTTGATGAGAAGAGGAAGAAGAGACAGGAGGAATGGGAGAAAGTCAGGAAACCCGACGACCCAGAGGGTAAGAAGAGCACATTCACTTGCACACGTTTTCAAAACGCACCATAACTGCTAAATAGATACAGCCGTGCATGCATCCACATTTTTGTTTGTTTTACTCCTCAGAGGCCCCAGAGGAGAAGTATGACCCACGGTCCCTCTTTGAGCGATTGCAGGAGCAGAAAGACAAGAAACAAGAGGAATATGACGAGCAATTTAAATTCAGTGAGTTTTGTCTCTGTCTTTCTTTGTTATATCTGTTATTACCACTTTTACCTTCTTTTGTCATCTAGTTTTGAAGTAAGGCTCATACTGTATTTAACCACGGGCTATGTCCTATAAAGACTTTACTTTGCATTGAAGGATATGTTATAAAAGATGGTTCACAACATGCATTCCTTTATACTATTTTCTCATGATTAAAGAGGCACTGCATCAATTTCTTACATCACGGTCCGTTTACTCATCATGGTTAGCAGCATCAGCCTGCAAACACGGCAGTAAAAAGTCTAGAGGGAGCTTTCTGGTCTGGCTAAATTACCACGATGATGTCATCATGTACTATTCATACTTCAGACACTTCAGCACTTTCACTTAAATACGATTATGAATGAAGGACTTTAACTTCTAATAGAGTATTTGTATATAGCCTTACTGGTACTTTAATGTTACAGTGAGGAACTTTAAAGTGTCAGTAAGACTATATGCATCATAAATAATATTTTAAATACAGATCCCTCTATATGGCTCTCTATTTTGTTGAAAAGATTAATTGGGAAATAACTCGCACTCTTTCAATTCAAGCATTCATAAATCTGTTATAAGTACACACACAACTTTCGATTTCTTCCCGCGAAGGTTATTTGGGTGTGGATTTCAAAAAAATGACTCTTATGGTTAGTTTTCTGAAAAAATCCAATCACTGTACTGCCATGTGTTGAGAGCATGTTTGTTTCCATGGTGACAGGGAACATGGTGAGGGGATTGGACGAGGAGGAGAGCAGCTTCCTGGACGAGGTCTCCCGGCAACAGTGCCTGGTGGAGAAGCAACGCAGAGATGAGGAGAAACAGGAACTGTTGGAATACAGAATATCCTTTTAACATGCTTTGGTTTTTAAGAATAACATTTTAATTAGCCAGTATCGCTTTTGTGATCATATGAATCTGTTATTCCCCATTTTAGTGAACGATGACAGACATTTCAGGTTTAAAGTAAGCACCGAGATGTAGTTGAAGTCGCAGCAGGTTGTGAGTCTGGTTTATTGTGTTTATGAAATAAGAATTGGAGGAGACTACTATCAATATACTTCACTCAGTCTTAAGCACCATCTGCATTATTTTAAAACGAGTACAAATTAAAACTGAAAACTAAACTCTCACACTTCCTCCAGAGCAAGACAGTCAAAGAGTTAATTTCCAAAGAAATGCATGCTTTCAACTACGTCCCTTGAAAATCTAATGCAAATCTCTAAACCTAATACACATTTTATATCTAATGCTAAAGTGAACTGGTTAAAGGTTGAGTTTGGTATTTTTCAACCTGGACCAGGTGGCAACAGCCGATTCTGAAAAGTGATGCGAGTCTTGAAATGCCTTGCATTCTTTCTATTGGTCAGCAGGGAGCGTGTCGTCTGTTTGCAAAGAAGGCTTGTTTTTGAGAAAATGACTCTACGTCTCACTTAAATGTATTACCTCAGTAAAGATTTGTAAACATGAGTTTATGGACTCAATTGCTAGTTTCAAGTCTTTTTCAAAACAGCATGATGTTCATTTAGTAAGTGATGGTCCATTTAGAGTCAAATAGACCATAAAGCAGGGTATGCTTTAGGGCGGGGCTACTCTGTTATTGACAGATCGCTACCACCATATGAGAGCTGTCAGTGTTTTCCTCTTACAACTTTTACCCTTTCACAGTGTTTTCAGTTCAAGAATGTCCACATTTAGCTCCAGTTGTACTTGGCATATCTAGAGTCACTTGTGGTTGCAAAAAAAACCAAGATGGTGACGTCCAAGTTGTCGAAATCGAGGCTTAAAAACAGTAGCCCACAAACCAATGAGTGACGTTCCGGTGACTATGTCCACTTATAATGTACAATCTATGGCATGTATATAAAAAGTACTTGGCAGCCGCTAAACAAGCTACAATGTAATCCTTCGGGCAATAATCCACCATCAATGTACATCCCCTACAACTGCTTGTTTTTACTGACAACATTATGGAAAGGATCTTACAGAGTAGGAAACTATTGTCTTTAACTTTCGCTTGACCCGGTCTGTTGGTTATTGTGTCATGTCACTTGTTGGCGGAAGACAAGTGAGTGAGAGTCGAAGCGAGGATGTTGTAGGAGTTTTTTATGTTGGAGTATAGAAAGCGTAACTTAGTGTTGTCTACATCATTTTCAAAGTCATGGCTGAATATTTGGTTGATTGTGACATTATGGATGGGACGCGAGATTTCAGAACGAGACTTCTCCTTGACAGTGGCGCTTCTAGCAATTTTTAACTGGGGTGGCAAAGGGTCGTCTAGAAGTGGCCTCTAATGATGTTAATATGCGTGCAGAATTTATTTCATGTATTTATATTCCACTAATAATTGGCTAAAACATAAATGAATTGGCTACGTGCATACACACAACTGTTGGGGGTCAGTCACCTTTTGCAGAACCTTTATTGTCAAGACGGCTAACCTTAGAAATTACAAATATATAGGACCTTTTTTTCTGAGCTCATTTACAAAAGTTAAGGCTGGTAAGTAGTCAAATGCTCTAAGCAAACCCTTACACGTTTTATCTTCCTCTAAATGACTAATCTCAATTACATCATACATTCTATCATTATGCTGATATAGTGTGTCACCTAACCTGGATGTTTTTGGATAAAGAACAAATGAGAGGTTCTGACCATATTTCAAAATATGAGTCATGGACTTTGTGCTGCTGCTTGTTGTGAGCAGACTAGCATGAAGTGCCTGGATAAGTAACATCATTACAGAGTTAGTGTCGTCTGCTTTTTGTATATACATTGATGCTACCGTGTGCAGGTTCCTGAGCTTTATTATGAACAATATTATATTAATATTATTACAATAAAATGAAGACCAAATTGAGGTAGCTCATATACATGGGACATTTGTCAGTGCTCTTGGGTGGACAAACTATGTAATTGTTAATGATTTCACATTTAGTTTGGCATTTCTGTACTTCTATATTTCTTGTTAATTGTAAGCTGACATATTTAGATATCTGCAATAAGCTAATACCGACAAATATATCGGCCTAGCTCTACTAGCTAGCTATGTAGGATGATGGCATTCTTAACGGTGCCTCCTGAGCTCTGATTGGCTGACAGTTTCTCCAACTGGAGAAAGCAGCTATGAGTGGGCACCAGCGCTGAACAAATCTTCAATGTGGGCAGCGGGTTAAAGGTCAGGAATCAGCCTATTTTGTTTGCCTAATCCCATCTGGATCATTTCGCTGCATTACATAACCTCAAATGTTAGCCCGAGAAAGAAGCATCAGACTGTTGTACTTAGGACAGACCACCTAATACTGGTACTGTGCCTGACATCACAGTGTAGATTCTACACTGTGACATTCTTGCACATTTGAATACAGGTCCAGAAGGTTTTGCTTGTTGGTTGTTGCTCTCTGTAAACTCTCACGTTGTCTTGGCGGACAGACAGGTTTGTGACAGACAGGTTTGTCTGCAGATGAAGAAGAGAATGGGTTGTCGTGGAAACTGTATCATAGGCTGGTAACTACGGTGACCATTTATAGCAGTTGCTGTGAACACAAAATACATGCGCGCACACACACACACACACACACACACACACATGCATAGGCGCAGACCTTAGTTAATGCAGTGAACACTCATCACTGCTTGAATGTACCTCATGCAAATCTAATACCTGATGTTCCCCATTCATCTGACCCCTTTGTCTTACTCCTTGTGTCTGTGTTTCTTACTCTATTTTCCTCCCTCTCTGCATCTCGACCCAATTTCATGTCTCCTGAGCTCTGTCCATCTCCCGGTGTACTTGTAGGCTTCATATCTGTGTCACCTCTCTCTCTGCCTCTGTGCATGAGTGCTTTTTTTTTAGCCTCTCAGAACTGTGTCACTTTTTCCAGCACACTGATGGAGAGATGTAATGGCTCCCCCGGAAGGGAGGAGAGAACTAACCTGTTGAGTGGACTGCTGCTGAATGGGGAAGTCAGTTTTGTACTTGCCCCTGAGCTCTTCCTCTTTGTTCCCTCCACAAGGATCCATTATGGTTTATTCACCTTAACTTTGTACTGTCACAGCGCTCTAGTGAAGCAAGCGGCCACCGAAACCCGCAGAGAGCCTGAAAAGAAGGTGGCACCTAAACCTTCGGGGGCGGAGCAAAAGACCAGCCATCTGTCTCAGGCCCATTTGTTGGCTGGAGCTGTCAAGAGACGCAGGTAGGCACACAGAAATACATCCTTTAGAGCTGCACTAGCTGATTTTGTTGTGGAACGGTGTCAACAGAACAAGCTGTAAATACAGCACTGACCTTATAACATTGATATGAAGTTTGTCAGTTGCCTATTTGCACATCCAGAAGACACAGAGTAACATTATCATTCATTGTCAGTTGTTTGTTGTGACGGATTTAACCCTCTGAACCCCACAAAAAGGCATGCGTAGAGGTTGTAAAAATGTAAATAGTTCAATATGTACAGCATGTGGAGCCTCCTTTTTTTGTGATTATGGCAACACTTGTGGGCACTTGGAAAAATGCTGTTTGTATCTCTACTTCTAGCCATGATTGTGCTGTTTCTATAGAGGTGCAGGACTCTGTGAGTAAAATGTGATGTAGAACGCCCGGAAACTGCGTGGGGTTCAAAGGGCTAAGTCCAATATTCACGCTCCTTTAGTTCTGTTTTTAATGTTCACCAGCTCCTTCTTTTTAGCTGCTAAAATCTCCACTATGTTCTCTGATCACAATGTATCCTCGTACAACGGTTACGTTCTATGAGTTCCTTCCGGTACCATTGCTGATGAAAGTGAATTGGTTGGTAAATTGTAAACTCAAAGTTCACTTACTTAAGTGTTCCTGAAGCTTCCAGACACATCCCAGGTCCACCTGCAGAAAGCTTGAGGAATAGCTTCGTAGGTGATGCTTGAGTTTCTTCTCACAATACTGTAAATGTTTCAAGACTGAACCTTAGAGTTAGACCCTAGTCACGTTGTACTCCGTCGTTAGACCCATTGTTTGCATGAAAATCTTGATTTTGAGCAGACTTAAATCTTCAATACCTCTTTGTTCTGTTACCCAGTTCCTCCCAGTCCTCTGACAGCAGTAAGAAACAGAAGGTGGAAATCTCAACGACGGCAACGACAGGAAATGGAGACAGACACACAGGTGGGTTGCAGCCTGAGGCTTCAAAGGTAGGAATGTCTGTCTGAGGTGGACAGAAATGGAGTTTTGCACCTCTTTGACAATTTCTGGAATTGGTCAATGATAGAACTACAGTATCGGACCAGAAGCCAATGCGGAAATGTCTTAAACCTGCATCAGGGGGCGACTTCTCTGGTTGCAAAAAGAAGACCGATTGTGCGGGATTTCTGAGAAAATGACCCTACTTCTCTCTAGGGATGTCCCTCAAAACCCAGTTCTAAACGAGAACCGCTTCCGAATTAGTAAAAACCTGGAGTATCGATGAGGTCCGAAGTTGACGGTTTTGCTATCGGTACTTTAGAAGTGACGGAGTGAAATCTCTGCAGAAAAAAGCAGCGTCTCAAACCTCCTCTCTGTGCCTGTCTTTGCACGAGGGGCTGAGTTGTGCTTTACTGTTACAGACACACACACACACACACCAACTCCGTGAGACACATCATGGCAGAGAAAACCAAAAGATGCTGATAATTCTCGTTGTCATGAATGCAATCCCTCAAGTAAGAGAGGCATTACCAGCAATTTATCAAAACATTTGGCAAACAAGCAGAACGTAAATCTGCAGAAATGCTCAGTTTTCTACCGTTTGGTGAGCAGCCGTCCAGCCTCGTCCTCTGCCGGTAACGTCAGCGATGCTATACAGAGTATGATAATAAGAATAGGCTATTATATTAAAGCTAATCGCTTAGCTTATTTTCTAGCTGCGAATGTATTTTAATGATTTAGGAACTTTTTGTATTGCTGCTCAAGAATGACTATTTCTCTACATACAAGAATAATAAAGCAATGTTGATTCTTTTCTAAAATATTTGTCTTTTTTTTTTCTCACAAAATAATAAAAAAAGAACCGATTAGAGTATCAGGATCTATAAAATCCTAACCATACCCATCCATTACATTACAGTCATTTAGCGAACGCTTTTATCCAAAGCGACTTACAATTCAGATTCTATCACATACACTGTAAACATGAGTTTATGGTCTCAATCTCTAGTTTTGAGTCTTCTTCAATACATCATGATGTTCATTTAGTAAATTATGGTACATTTAGAGTAAAATAGACCATAAAGCAGGTTATGCTTTAGGGCTTTGCTGTGATGTCACGATGATTACGTCTACTTCTTGTAATCAGTCTGTGTCAAACCAGAAAAACACAAACTTGTGATTCAATGATGCATAGATTGCATACATGGAGAGTGCGTTTTTAACTACATATAGAGCAGACATTTCTTTCAGAATTGTGAAGGACGACTGACTCTTTGCAAAGTGGAAGTGGTCTGGCTTTTCAGGTGCTAAATGCTAGCTAGTTCACCAGCTAGCTGCTAACTTTGTATGACGGCAGTTTGGTGCAGGCAGCAGGTAGTTTAAGGTGGTGGGGTAATCAAAGCCGTCTGACTGAAAACGGCAGCCTGCTTCAGCTGGAAACGAGTCGTCTGAGAACGGTTAGTGAATAAAAATGGTAAAGTCGAGGGCGATGAATCTAAAACGGTAAATCTCTGACCTTTTTAAAAAGACTCACGGGGGAGTCTGCATGTGCAGGCTCTGAACCTGACAGTATGTTGTGCTGTTCAGAACAGGAGGATGGAGCAGGAGCAGCAGGCGGAGCTAAAGATCAACAAACAGACCCCGGCTCGACGGCGAAGACCCCCTCGGCTCCCCCGAGCTCCAGTCAAGGCGTGTTACACCTGCCGTCAGCAGCCGTGTGTGTGGGCGTTTTACCAGGACTCTGGGCTTATTCCGGCAGCAGCGACTCTGACAGCAGCTCGGACAGCGAAGGTAGCGTGGACGCAATCATGTTGCCGTACCCCCGGCACAGCAGGGCCTACAGATAGACACACACACACGTGAAGTAAGTCTATATTGCTTCAGAATGGCTAGCAAATAGTCAGAAAAGGTCTCCTCACACAGGATATGCACACACAGAGACAGATTCAAAGGTCATACATACACACGCTGATATAAAAGTACCTGCAGGCCACACACGTTCATATCATGTTGGAGTCATACACTAGCAACATGCACACTGAGCAAAACTTATCAGTATTTATGATTAGTATTCTTGCTCTTCAGCCCAGAAATATAATCTTAATGAATGGTGACATTAGCACCAATTTAAACTCTACTCTGAACTTAATCTTTGTATCTAATTGTTGTTTTTGCTATTGTGGCACTCAAACATGACACCTCCACCCTTCCTTCCCTCAATCACGTCTCACACAGTTTAAGCCGAGCAACCAATCCCGCACTGACTACCCCGACGACATCCCCCCCCCCCCCCCCCCCCCCCCCCCCCCCCCCCCCCCCCCCCCCCCCCCCCTTCACCCAACCCCACTCCCAACCCAAGCCACAGCGACTGCAAGCTGTGCTGTTGGCTGAGGGAACAGTGATTGACAGCTGTGGAGCAAGGAAGAGACTGCTTTAGACTGTGTCAAACGACCTAACACCTTTTTAGCTATCGGCGGGAAAAGAAGAGAGCCGAGGCAGGACATGCTTCGCTCTCTGCTTGGGTTAAACGCAAAGTCCGAATGGTTCGAAAAATGTTTTCGTTTGTGTGATGTACTGTGTTTTGTCATCAGTAGTGTTTTAAAGTAGCATTGTGCTGGAAAGATGCTGGACTTTTTGCTGTTGTCTCAGACGTTGGAGCTTTGTTTTGTTGGTCAAAGTCTGAGCAGCGTGAAATAAAGAGCTGTCCCTTGTACTGCGTGTTTGCTCTAGTTTATTTGTGTGTGTGTGTGTTGGGGTAAGGGGTTGGGTAGTGAGAGTGTGAGTGAGATAGATGGATAGAGAATCAAAGAGCTTCTATAAACTAGTGAAACTTTTTTTTATATTACCAATTATGGATTGGAAATTGAATGCTGCATTAATTCAGCTTTTTTTGTCTAGTACTCACAAGGGACCACTTCCTTAGGTCAGTGGTTCTCAACAGTTTTGGCTTGTGCTAATGTCTACATCTCACAGGTATGGCGTGTGGGCATGAATTACGAATAATGAGCACCAAGGAGTGTCTCTTGCCTTTCAAGTTGTTTCATTGAATGGATGGAGGCCTGAAGAGGTAAAAGTACAGTGGGGCAAAAAAGTATTTAGTCAGCCACCAATTGTGCAAGTTCTCCCACTTAAAAAGATGAGAGATGCCTGTAATTTTCATCATAGGTACACTTCAACTATGAGAGACAGAATGGGGGGAAAGAATCCAGGAAATCACATTGTAGGATTTTTAATGAATTAATTGGTAAATTCCTCGGTAAAATAAGTATTTGGTCACCTACAAACAAGCAAGATTTCTGGCTCTCACAGACCTGTAACTTCTTCTTTAAGAGGCTCCTCTGTCCTCCACTCGTTACCTGTATTAATGGCACCTGTTTGAACTCATCAGTATAAAAGACACCTGTCCACAACCTCAAACAGTCACACTCCAAACTCCACTATGGCCAAGACCAAAGCGCTGTCAAAGGACACCAGAAACAAAATTGTAGACCTGCACCAGGCTGGGAAGACTGAATCTGCAATAGGTAAGCAGCTTGGTGTGAAGAAATCAATTGTGGGAGCAATTATTAGAAAATGGAAGACATACAAGACCACTGATAGTCTCCCTCGATCTGGGGCTCCACGCAAGATCTCACCCCGTGGGGTCAAAATGATCACAAGAACGGTGAACAAAAATCCCAGAACCACATGGGGGGACCTAGTGAATGACCTGCAGAGAGCTGGGACCAAAGTAACAAAGGCTACCATCAGTAACACACTACGCCGCCAGGGACTCAAATCCTGCAGTGCCACACGTGTCCCCCTGCTTAAGCCAGTACATGTCCAGGCCCGTCTGAAGTTTGCTAGAGAGCATTTGGATGATCCAGAAGAGGATTGGGAGAATGTCATATGGTCAGATGAAACCAAAATAGAACTTTTTGGTAAAAACTCAACTCGTCGTTTTTGGAGGAGAAAGAATGCCGAGTTGCATCCAAAGAAACACCATACCTACTGTGAAGCATGGGGGTGGAAACATCATGCTTTGGGGCTGTTTTTCTGCAAGGGGACCAGGACGACTGATCCGTGTAAAGGAGAGAATGAATGGGGCCATGTATCGTGAGATTTTGAGTGGAAACCTCCTTCCATCAGCAAGGGCATTGAAGATGAAACGTGGCTGGGTCTTTTAGCATGACAACGATCCCAAACACACTGCCCGGGCAACGAAGGAGTGGCTTCGTAAGAAGCATTTCAAGGTCCTGGAGTGGCCTAGCCAGTCTCCAGATCTCAACCCCATAGAAAATCTGTAGAGGGAGTTGAAAGTCCGTGTTGCCCAGCAACAGCCCCAAAACATCACTGCTCTAGAGGAGATCTGCATGGAGGAATGGGCCAAAATACCAGCAACAGTGTGTGAAAAGCTTCTGAAGACTTACAGAAAATGTTTGACCTCTGTCATTGCCAACAAAGGGTATATAACAAAGTATTGAGATGAACTTTTGTTGTTGACCAAATACTTATTTTCCACCATAATTTGCAAATAAATTCTTTCAAAATCAGACAGTGATTTCTTGGATTTTTTTATTTTTTTTTTTCTCATTTTGTCTCTCATAGTTGAGGTATACCGTGGGTACGGAAAGTATTCGGACCCCTTTAAATTTTTCACTCTGTTTCATTGCAGCCATTTGCTAAAATCAAAAAAAGTTCATTTTATTTCTCATTAATGTACACTCAGCACCCCATCTTGACAGAAAAAAACAAATGTAGAAATTTTTGCAAATTTATTAAAAAAGAAACTGAAATATCACATGGTCATAAGTATTCAGACCCTTTGCTGTGACACTCATATTTAACTCACATGCTCCATTTCTTCTGATCCTCCTTGAGATGGTTCTACTCCTTCATTGGAGTCCAGCTGTGTTTAATTAAACTGATTGGACTTGATTAGGAAAGGCACACACCTGTCTATATAAGACCTTACAGCTCACAGTGCATGTCAGAGCAAATGAGAATCATGAGGTCGAAGGAACTGCCCAAGGAGCTCAGAGACAGAATTGTGGCAAGGCACAGATCTGGCCAAGGTTACAAAAGAATTGCTGCAGCACTCAAGGTTCCTAAGAGCACAGTGGCCTCCATAATCCTTAAATGGAAGAAGTTTGGGACGACCAGAACTCTTCCTAGACCTGGCCGTCCAGCCAAACTGAGCAATCGTGGAAGAAGAGCCTTGGTGAGAGAGGTAAAGAAGAACCCAAAGATCACTGTGGCTGAGCTCCAGAGATGCAGTAGGGAGATGGGAGAAAGTTCCACAAAGTCAACTATCACTGCAGCCCTCCACCAGTCGGGGCTTTATGGCAGAGTGGCCCGACGGAAGCCTCTCCTCAGTGCAAGACATATGAAAGCCTGCATAGAGTTTGCCAAAAAACACATGAAGGACTCCCAGACTATGAGAAATAAGATTCTCTGGTCTGATGAGACCACGATTGAACTTTTTGGCGTTAATTCTAAGCGGTATGTGTGGAGAAAACCAGGCACTGCTCATCACCTGCCCAATACAATCCCAGCAGTGAAACATGGTGGTGGCAGCATCATGCTATGGGGGTGTTTTTCAGCTGCAGGGACAGGACGACTGGTTGCAACTGAAGGAAAGATGAATGCGGCCAAGTACAGAGATATCCTGGAAGAAAATAATAAAATTAACTTTTTTGATTTTAGCAAATGGCTGCAATGAAACAGAGTGAAAAATTTAAAGTGGTCTGAATACTTTCCATACCCACTGTACCTATGATGAAAATTTCAGGCCTCTCTCATCTTTTTAAGTGGGAGAACTTGCACAATTGGTGGCTGACTAAATACTTTTTTGCCCCACTGTATGCAGTATTTTGCAAGAACAAAAGCGAAATCATACAAAAAATATAGTTTTACCAGGTAAGAAAGATAAATTTAAAATTACTGCTTGGTGCTTTTACTGTTGAGGAACACCTGGAGGGCTCCGCCTGATCGTTGGTGTTTTAAATATGTGAGATGTGGTTCACAGCCAGACCTACAGTACACGGGTCACAAAATTAAAGCGGAAAATTTGACTAGATCAAAACTAATTTGTGTAATTTGATTCTGGGATGTTTATTCAGTCCTCATTAAGACCGTAGCAGGAGGAATTTGCATCTAAAGCTGAGTTCAGTAGCTGATTGAGATAGAAAACTGGGGTGGCAGTCAAGGTGTGTGAGTGAGTGAGTGAGTGAGAGAGAGAGAGAGAGAGAGAGAGAAACACATGCATTTCAGTTTGAGGACAGTTCACTGACATTAAGAAAGCCGTGGGTTGTTGGTATCACTGGTGTAGCTGTGAAAAGACTTGCTATGACAACAAATAATATTACCAACTGTACACAAAGAAAATAAGATTTCAGGATTTGTGTTTTGAAGTGTACCAAACGCAAGCGTTTTAGATGAAATTCTGACCCCAGCAACCACATGTTTAGCAGTCTGGCAAATTATTACAGTACGTTCAAGCTGTTTTGTGAAGCCTGAGCTCTAATCGACATACTGCCCCAAAAGGTTTCAAGATAACAGTAAACTGTACATTATTAATAGTGACATTATATATTCAGAGTAATAAATGAATGTCAAATAAACAACTTTAAATATTCAAATGTGAAATAATATCAACAAACAGTTAAACGTTTTGCTTCTCTTTGTGGTCGTTCTGCATCTCTTTCTACGTTTATTTATACAGCACGTTTCAGCAACAAAGTAATTCAACGTGCTTTACATAAAGCATGAAGACAACTGGCAAAAGAAACACACCACAAAAGGACATGAAGAACAGGACAAACTGCACTCACTTGGACCACGAGGCAATAGCACCCGTTCAAGCTGCAGGGGGACTTCCTGATATGTCCCATTAATGCATGTACTGACCTGGCTTTCTCCATGGAGCTTTTGTGCGTTCTCACCTTGTAGGTTTCCATGGATTGTGGTTATACCTGGACCGTGGTTGTACCTGCTGCCGTGGTCCTGCCTGACACCCACGATTGTATTATGTTGTGTAATCTGTACACATTACATTACAGTCATTTAGCGGACGCTTTTATCCAAAGCGACTTACAATAAGTGTATTCAACATAGGTATTCAAGAGAACTACTAGTCACCAGAATTCCGAAGTGCATCTCCTTTTATAACAAGCATCTAAGAGCATAAACCAGAGCAAACGTGCAGTGCACAAACAAACAAATGCAATAAATGCAACAAACTAGTATGAATACAATAAGTGCTAAGTGGAAGGCTCAGGGTAGTACTTCTTGAAGAGGTGAGTTTTCAGCCTACATAACATCTATTGCACTTATATTTTATTTGGGGGGTTCCTCATCTGATGTGAGGATCCAAAGACAGAGAATGTCATATGTTGTGCAGATTGTAAAGCCCCCTGAAGCAAATTTGTGATTCGTGATAATGGGCTATACAAATAAAATTGAATTGAATTAAATCACGTTGAATGATGTCTGAATCCTCATGTTTATTACAGACCATATCCTATCATTTCATGAATTTACAGGTTCAAAAGCCACTCAATTTTAAATATTTTTTACCCTTTTAACATTCAGCAAATATCGTACCTCAGCACTCAGAACATTTGTTCTCTCACTTGGTATGTATAACATTCCTGTTCTTCCCAGATGTCCTCCATTGTGGCCGCATATCTACAAGTGTGTGACAAACAAAAAGCACCTGTCTTAACATGCAACACAACTGACAGTTAAAGTAAAAGCCATACAACAATAATACACTATTATAGAATTTATAATCAGCATTAACACTGGAGAGTGGCGAATTTCACAACGGTCATGAATGAAATGACAAAGATATGCAGGATTTGGACAAACCTGAAGACATGTAAACACTAGTCCACCAGCAACCGTCTATACAGTGAAAATCAAAGTCAATAAAGTCATCAGAAATTTGAGTTACATTCATTTCAAGTTGAACCATGTTGCACACATTCAAACCAACATTCAATTTCCATTTATTTTGTAGGTAATTTCTTAATAATTTTAATACAAATAAGCTTGGATGAAAGCGTGTTTTTAGGAAACACTAAATTACTTATTTATGTGACATTGGGATCTGGCATCAGTCTACAATTTTAGAAAAAAATAGAATTTGAACAATGTTCCTGTCAGATACAGTGAAGGAATTATTCAATCAGCCATTAATCTATAAATAATCAGTCGCAAAATATGTTGTCCCTTGAGTGGTAGAAGATCTTATTAGAGAGGAGTGTTTGTGACTTTGTTTTGATAGTCTTGGTGTTTTGTATTGGCACACACTCGGACCTCTTCAATATTTATAATTGTATAATTCTGGCACAGCTAACACAGGATAAGTATGTAATCACAAGAGGTCCTTGAGCATCCAGCCATAACTGCAAACCCAAAATATTATGCAGTTTGCTGCAGCGGAAGATTAGCTATAAACAACACACAGGCGCACAGTCACTCACTCACTCACTCAGCTGGTATAGATAATAAAGGTGAAGCTGCCACTAAAGCAGAGTAACACAGCAAAGCAAGGTATGGCAGCAGAGGCAATTAGAGTCTGCAAAAGAAAAGTAACTGTCGCTTTTATCCCCGTTCACTTACATACATATCTTCATTCAATAATTAGGTAATGAATCACACAGGTTTCCTCGGCTGTCTGTACCCTGTCTGGAGCATCGAAATATTAAATACAATAGAAACTTAAGGGCCTTTCATACAGAACTGCGATGTGGAAAGCACATCCGATTTTAGGTGTACCAAATGTATCAAACACAACTGTTCCATACCACCACCACCAAGACAAATGATACACATACAATTGTAAACGCAAGAATACGCATTTAGTGCTAAATTACAGTTCATCTATATGCTGGCTTATTAAAGTACATGCTGTTACGATTTATATTTAACAACATATTGTGTTTTTGTTCTTTTATCAAAGTTAGGTCTTCTCCCTACGGTGTCACCCAGTATCTGAAAAGCTCATGCTGCCAACACATTACAGGGGAAGTTGCTACAGGCAGGTCGATTTGCTGCTAAATGACGTTGTGATGCCATTATGTGTCATTATACACTACCATTATGACTGGGCCCCTGTGCCACCACAGACGTGTAAGATCACAAGAACACATTCTATGTGTACCTATGTGAGCCACGTCAAAGACAAACGTCCAGCAATTTTCAACGGACAATAAACTTCTTCTGATTTTCTACTGTGGTGGTTTTGTGTCTCTCGTGGTCATTTCCCATCTCTCTGTGGTTGTGTATTTGTGGTGTGCTGCTCTTATATCCACAGACACAAAGAGGACATGACATTTCCTTCAGTTTATTAACCTGAGTGTGGACATAGACACAACTTTAGAAAATGAATAGCAACACATTTAGTACAAAGATGCACAGCAATACACATAGGAGTAGTTTAGGTACACAATTCAGCACTGCATAAAAAGTACATTAAAAACATGTCATAAACATTGGCTTATCAGAACATGAACAGCATCATATAAATATACATTCGGTATATATGCATATCAGAAACTCCTCTTCTGCTTCCAATCATTAAAACTCTGAAAGTAACAGCCTTCTCTGACACATCTGTCTCTGCCATGGGACACTTCCTTCCCGTTCAACAGAATCTCATTAAAATATTTACAAAATCTGATAAATACATCATTTGAAAAAAAAACAACATGCATTGGTGATCATCAGCATCAGTTTGTAAACAGTGCGTAGATATTGGCATCATGCAGGATAAACTGAAGTCATAAGAAATACAAGGATTTTGCAGAAGCTAGCAAAATGGCCCCATATTTAAAAGCCTAATGAGTTCACAAAGTATCCCACATCTGTCCTGTGTTAGTGCTACAGCTGCCACTACGGCCTCGTCCTCCTCTGATTCTATCCTCTCGAATCAAACAAGCATATAGTGGAGCATTAAAACTCGCCCTTCAGACAACTGGCTATCACAACTTTAAATTGAAACCTCCCCCTGACGATGGAGCAGGGGTGAAGAAATAGTGCTCTGCTCAGGCTCAGTCTGTGAGTCTACCACACGTGAGCACAAAAGCAACCTGCCTTCGTCCGATCCGCTACCTGAAAAGGATCCATAAGACAAAGGGAGGGGATTGAACCACTGATATATTTCAGCTGAGAAGGGACTCTACACCAAGAAGTTGTATGTATCACATGGTATCAATCACAACACACACACATGCAAAAAGCTAAATAAAAGATGTTTTTCATTTCTCTTACAAAAAGGCCAGTGTTTTAGCTGCATATTCATAAACGTCCATATGATTTGGAGACACCTGCCATGGCTATAGACATGCAAGGTCCTTTAAACATTATTTTCATGGTTCTGTGTGCTGGAAAGCTTTAAGAAACAGAGAATATCGCCTCTGATGGATTCACAATGGATACTGACCAAACATCCAGTCACAACCTTGTAAATATAGTGGCAGGGATGTCTTCACTGTGATTTCTTTTTTTTTTGTCCACAACTCATTTTTTGTTCACAGCCAATATACACACTTTCATTCTGTATCGTTTGCCGTTAATGAGAAGAGACGTTTTGTTGAGCTATTGTACAGCGTGTGGGCTTTTGTTTTTGGGGCGTCTCACTTCGGCGCTGTGTTGGCGGGTGGTAGATTCCGCTGCTTAAAGTACTGGGTGACCTGCTGAGGCAGTTCGGCTAGGACTGACTTGGCGAGGGTCTCCTTGGGTGCCTGCGAGAGGAAAAAGAGCAAGAGAGCACATTCATTTATACAACAAAAACACAAAAAGTAAAGTGAAATGAAGGCTGGAAAAAGGGTTAGTGTTTTGGTTCTGCTTTGAGTGGCTGTCTCTGACTGTGGTATTTGCACGTCCAGTGCATCAGTGCTGCTTACAGACGGTTGTGTGGTGGTTACTGTAGTGGTTTATGGACACTCCTTGTCGTGATTTGTGCTAATAAATTATATTGCAATAATTGCTACCAACTTGCTAAGTATCACCACCAACTTTATGAAGATAATAATTTATAGCCAACAGACACTGCCAACACATCAGCTCATTGTTTCAGGTCACTGCCATCATTACGTTTGGTCTCTGTCTCTGCATCATTTCTTCCTCTCCGTTATGTCTGTTGCTGTCTCTCAGCCTTCCACCGACAAATTGGAACGAAGCCAGCAAACACTGTGTTCCTCCCACTACAAAGGAAGTCAGCTCGCCCACCACCCGCGCCCACACACACACACACACACACACACACACAAAATATATACTAAAATGAACAAAAATGCAAAGTGAGTCCTCTGGTGCACAGACTACAAATGTGCACATACTTATTATAACAATGCTTAGCTACAGCACACATGTTTGGACACTCACACTAAAGCTTTTTAAATGTGCTGCATGTATGCTCATCAACACACACGCTCACAGTGTCTCTGTCGAGTCTGGGATAACCAGGCAGCTCTCGTCATCTAGCAGACCCTGCATGTGTGTGTAGTGTGTTACAATCCGAGTAGCAACAGGCTGCCATTTGGTAACACACTCACACAGCAATGTTGTGTCATTAGGTAAAAGCCTCTACCGCAGAACTAAGATGGAGTCAAAGTGACACTGCAATTCACATCAGCAAATCAAAACATTAGCTGAAGTGTCATCTCGGCAAATGGTGACTGAAAGATGTCGAGTGGAAATAGACGATTGTGTATTTTATTCAAAATTGTCGTGTTCCAGCACAGTTCCACTCAGATCAGATCACACCACAGCTGAAAAGTAACACGGTCCGGGTTTGTTTTTTTTTTCACATCAGAGATTTCTTCCTGTGTTGTTTTGTCTGAGCTCATCTCACTGGTTTCAAGCTGACAGGACTAGAAGAAAAAACAATCACTATTTAGGAACACTTGAATCTGTATCTGGTGGGGTTGTTTGCTTAAATTGCTAGGCAACTGTCAATCAAATCTGATCAAACCACACCCACACAGTCGTGATAAAACAAAGAACAAATGAATGAGTGATCTGACTCCCGTATCAGATTTGAGGATAGCATAAAACCATTTGGGATAAGACACCTCAGACTGGACTTATGTGTCTGTATATGTATATCACTATACAGTATAGGTGCATTTATGTTTTTTGTTATTAAACTAGACTTTGCTACACAGCACAGTGCAAAAAGTCTTAAAACATTTAAATGTATGTACAGCATTTGGAAGGCAAAGGCTTGACCAACAATTTCAATTCTTAATTGTTATGTTACAGTAAACATCAACCATGACTTGCAGCCGTTGTATTTCATTTTTTCTTTTAAGTGCATGACGGTTCCATGTCATCCTGCTGGTTTTCAGAGACCAGTACTCACATTTCGGAAATCTCTGAAAGGGACGAACTGGACTATGTCGCGAACAGCCTCCTCTCCCGCGTTGGACCTTAAAACGCTGGCGTCTCCATCTAAGAACTCCATGGCAACGAAGTCTGCGTTGCCCACACCGATGATGATGATGGACATGGGTAGCTTAGACGCCTGTACGATGGCGTGACGCGTCTCGTCCATATCGCTGATGACACCGTCTGTTATAATGAGGAGAGTGAAGTACTGCTGCAGAGGGGAAGAGGGTTGGTCGAAGGGAAGATAGGGAGAGAGAAATGAGGGAGAGAAAACACAAAGGGAAGTCAGAAATACCCTTAATGTGAAGTCTTGAATCTCCTCTAAGGTCACTTGAGGAGAAATCTGCATGAAGAAAATAGACTGGGACGATAAGTCGCAATCATTGTGATTATGCAGTCAATAATGGTGAGCAGAGTGACATAGTGTTGTGGAGGTGGAGAAGGAGAGCTCGGTCAAAGGGTGAGACAAAGGAGAAAATACAAAATGCAATAGAGGACATTTTAGAGATTGTTGGGAGTGACAGTGAAGAAAAGACAAAGAATTCAAGAAGAAGAGAGCGCTTGATGACACTGCTCGAGGGAGAAAAATATAGAAGCCAGAATGAAAGCTTTTCTGCATTACAGCAAGTTGGGCTCCATTCGTATAACAGAGCAGACCATCTGCTCCTGGAAAAAAATGATGGAAGGAAAAGAAATGAATCGATAGATAAACAAGGGAAGGAGATGAAAAAAAGAAAGGAAGAACAAAGAGCGAATAATTTGCAGTGAGTCAGAAGGGAAAGGGATTCGGCTTCAGCATAAGACTGAAATATCCCGTAACATGTCGTAATCCATTCGTGTTGAAGTTTCTTATTGGATATATTACAAAAAAAACCAAACATACACAAATTCTAAATAAAGCACTTTCAGGAGAACATGTCTATAAAATACACTTACATAAATACACACATAAATGCTTGAATAAGATAGAAGGATCTTTTTTTAGGAAGCAACTATCATTATTTTGATTGCATTCAGACATTAACTCGACTCAGTCGGCAGAGTGTTAATATTGAAAGTCTCGCGTGTCCAAGTGGCACCAGTTTCGACAATGCACTCATTGGGTCCGTATCAATACACCCGGCAAGTGTGAAATAGATCCGATCAGATTCTTGAGATATACTAAGGACATACCGACATACAGACAGACACAGATTCCTTGCTTTATAATAAGATTGTTGACACGCATTAATTACCTTTTATGTCCACTTTGGGGCAGCAAAAAGCTACAAACACACATTTGACATATTATTATTTTAAAGTTGTTACGGTTTGCTTTTTTTAGCAAACACTATTCCTACTATGTATCCAATCGGCATGGAGCAGCATTAGCATCTGTATCGAGTTGTGTTTCTGGACAGCTGAAAAATGTAGGTCCAATATTCACTCTCCTTCTAGCTCTGTTTTGGTCCCCAACAACTCCTGAGAGAAATATCTGGCTCTTTAGCAGGAAGCATACAGTGGGTTTATCAGAGCTTCTTCGATGAAAACAACTGCGTGCTGGAAACAGGGTTGATGAGAGTGAACCAAATTGTAAAGTCACAAGCCGTAAAACGAAAACTGAGAGCTGAAGAAAGGTCTAGCAGTAGTAGTCTTAAAAGCAGTGCTTCAATATATTATCAGGCATATTAAGCAAATAAACTCTGGCGTTTTAAGAAAGCAAAACAAACACAGAGCCGAAATACTGATGCCAAGGATACATACAGAGCATGAGAGGTGAGGATGTAAACCACAACATCTCTGCTTCAGAAATATGTAAAAAATAATGTGTAAGCCTGCCAGTCTGGATCGCACTAAAGGTAAAATAAGCAAACTGTACAATGTTCATAAAGTATATTAATAACCAAAATCATCCACAAATTCACAGAAACTTCTAAAACTACAGTTGTTATGGAGGATAATTGTGATCATTGGACAAGAGTTTTGGTGATGTTACAAGTTTAAACAAGCTACTTAGATATTGTTTTAAAATTAATCAGTTATCTTGATTATGAAGCAAAATAATCAGATAAACATCTAAAATTATATATATACATAAAATATATATTAAATAACAAACCCATCGAACCAAAATTCAACAAAGCTGTGAAACATAGTTGTAATGCTTATGATAGTTTTCTTTACCATTTTACTGGACGTACGTACACACACACAAACACAAACACACCAGACAGAACAAGGATACAGCGTGTCTGACGTGGACAGAGACTTCAGACGGATTACAGGAGGCACGACATCCTATCACACCTGTCCATTATTACCTGTATCAAACCTGAGACACAAAAGGTATCTCTCTCTTTCCTACACAGACACACAGACACACAGACAGACACACAGACACAGACACAGACACACACACACACACACACACACATTTTGCCCCTTCTGATATTTTATTGAGCATTAACGTAACTTAATGGTGGCATAAAGCGAGTTTCATTCAATGCAACAGTGAAAACAAACAGTGGGAACCAATTTTACACCAGAGGCCTGAAGTGAGTTATCTTCCAGTATAGAGACAGAGCAAGATTAAGTCCCGCCCACACTGGAGAGATAACAATTAATCCCTCTCCATTGACTTTGCATTGTGTGAAGGTGACTCCTTGTCACTTTTGTCTGCTAGCAAACAACAGACCAATGTCTAAAGGCATGCTGTGGTGGGATGCACATACCAACAGAGAAAATAAGCTTTTATAAGTTTCCATACAAATAAAATGATTATGTCCCGTAGACCTCAAGAGCTCACACTAAACACTGCACTTCCAAGGGTCCTCTGCAATACAACCGCCAAGCGTGAAGAATAAAAGAACATTAACTGTTAAATCAACAACACAAACTGCCACATAAAGTGAAGGTTGGGTGGGAGCATAAGTGTGATCATCAGAGTAAGCAGAGATAGTGTTGTGTCCATAAACCTCCATAAATATTATATGACATTACTGGTCACACAGTTGTGAATGAGCCAATCTGTAAGGCATATTGATATCGATCAGCCCATAAAAGTGTGACTTCACTGTATTAACGCTATGCTTATTTTCTGCCAGAGATACCTCTGATGCCAATGAATTGACCATTTATGGCAAATGGTTGGAAAGTTAGCGTTGTTGAAAAAGAACTTGAACTAGTTTTGTGGTCTGTCTCGTATAAGGCAGATCATATGTGGGCACGCACACACACACACACACACACATACACACACACACACACGCACAAAGAACGTGCATAGGTTCTGCGCACTAGAATTGTTATCCTATGATAAGAACAACAAACATGAAGACACACGCTGACATTAATCGGAACAAAATCACACTTTTATGTTGCACACACACACGGGGAGGGCTCTGAAGCCTGTCTCTTTAATGTGCTAACAGCAGCGCTCATTAGAGAATCATTATAACACAGATAGACAGGGTCGCTCACACACTGGGACACGCACAAACTGCACTGGCCTGCAGCCTGTGTGTGAGTGTGTTAGTAACGGGAGTGTGTACACAGTTACACAGTCTGCCGTCGCAGGTTCTCTCATTATCTGAGGAACAGGAAGATTGAGGCAGAGCAGCAGCCGATTTGTGCAGCCTACCTACCCAACCCCTTACCCCAACACACACACACACACACACACACACACACACACACACACACACACACACGTCTAACCACCACCCCAGTATGTGGTCCACACACACTTCTGCCGTGGCTGTCACATCTCATTTCATTGTGTGTCACTCCTTCCTATGTTCCACCCCTGTTTGAACTCACTGTAATATAAAACAAGAAAAGGGCCTGCAATCATTTCCTTACAGAAACAAAAGGATTCTGGCACACAACACACAGACGAGTACAATCCTTTGTGTATTTTGCTCATGTTTTTGTTCTCCACATGGTGACAGGATACAATTAGGGACAAAAAGCACCGTGGGAGCATAATGATACCCAGCCACTGCACTCTCTTCAGTTAGGTAGGAGACGTGCCACTGGATACAGCACACACAAGAAGGCAAAATGTACCATTTGCTGAAAGTTTGGAGATCCGAAGCTCCTGGCAGTGTCACACATCTGTGCATTTTTTTGTATAAAAAACGCCAGCCGGAACATAATATTGAGCGTCACAGGTAATGTGACCCGAGCCTTGCTGCCTTACAGCTACATGATGTGAGACCGCTGTTTGTGCCCAAACTTGTCTCGTTTAAGCTGCAATGTATGGCACACAGTCCCAAACATGAAAATAACTTGAAAGGGACTGAATCATGGACGGTCACAAGCTTCATCCAGCTGCACAGCCTGCTATTTATTAAAGTATTGATGCTTTTTATTACAAAACGACTATTTGTCTTTATGTTGATAGCTCTGAATCAAAAACATGCAATTGGAAATTAAAATAGATAAACTGGCTTGAGTTGATTCTGCTCTTGCATCAGTGGGACTTACTGGTATGGACTTAAATTAGACTCAAAATGGTCACAAATGTGAATTACATGATCTACAAATGAAAAATGTAGAATTGTGCACAACGATTTGTGTGTATTTTAGGTTATTCACGAATGTGTGTTCCAATTTACACACAAATACTAACCGTATTGAACACGTATAAAACAGTTTTACAAATGCACACATCACATCCTGAATGAATATCAATATTTTACCAACAGATTTTCAACTTCACAGATCTGATCCCGTTCGCCTTCAAAAAGCTTCCTGTGTATACAAATGTCTAAAAATGAATTCAAAATAAATAACTTTTTTTGTATTTATTTACAGATTTTGAAATGTGTAAATCGTCTGAAATGCACAAACCAGGTTACATTCGCTTGAGGACTTTTGAGACTTGTTTCAGTTTCTACTTCTACACAGATCCTCAATTGCATGCTATGTTTAAGTGCTGGTGGAAAACTGGGACATGTGGGCAGATATGATGCTAACCGGCGCTACGAACTAGACAGGCCTATCTTGACATGTCATTGCAGGGTAAACACAGGTGTAATCAGTAACATAAATTACGGCCATGTTCCATTTAGGTGGGCCAAGGCCCTGGTATCGCGCATGCCGGCTCACTGGAATGACTGTGACACACTAAATAGAACGGCTTCTCAATTACTCCTGTGTTTCGCTGCTATGACCTGTCAAAATGACTGCTGTGTGAAGGGCCTATTGCTCATTCGACACTTCATTCCAATGAGAACACCGCATAGGTCACAGCCTGAGGAAAACTGTGTGACTTCTTACCAAGAAATGCTACCAAAATAGAAAACCTTCTTGGGCGTGAAACAGAGCCGTAGGTCTTTCTCTATTTGGATTTTATGTGTAGCTGCCTCGGATACATAATCCAATGGCCCACCAAATAGAAGCATATTATGCTGAAATCCAGTGGTTTTGACTTAAACTATACTCAGATCAAACAAGCTGAGCAGTGATTGGCTCTTCCTTTTTATTAAAAAGGCATTCTGAAGAGAAGAGATGACAGATGTGCCACTATTCTTATTTGTGATGTAGAAAGCTGTAAGCATGAATCACACCAATGTGAAAGGACCACAGAAGCTACAAAAGAGATACAAAGTATTTATAAAAAGAGGCTAGCAGCTACAGATTGTTTTATTATGATCCAACTAGGATCATAATGCTGGTAGAATCAAACAATTATTATTTATTCATAACGAAAGCCACCCACATATGATCAGCGGTAAAAAGAAATCACTCCGTGCTGGTTGTGCGATTGTTTTCCTAAAGGGATAAATTGCCGCCGGTTCGCAGAGCTCAAAGCTCAAATCATTTCAATGACGACCTTGGTAGCCGCTGAACTTTCAAACCAATGAGATAACAACTGCGTACGTTGTTGTTGCCTAGAAACAGTGAATAGCTTCCCTGCGTACTTTTCGATGACATTTTATACCTGCACTTTGCCTCTGCAAACATTTCTTATCATGTGAAGGCAGCTTAAGAGTCTACAGTCACGCTGGTGTCTCTGTGAGGCATTATTCAGGCACAACAGTGCTAAATGCTAACACAAGCATACCAACAGACTCACAATGACAATGCTATGCTGTTTAACGTGTTCTTCATCTTAGTCTAGCACATTAAACATGCTAACATTTTCATGGCAATCCGATAAATGCGATTAAGTAGTGGACAGATAGATGGACACGCCACTAGCATGAAAGAATCAACCACATGAGCGATTGGAGAAGAGAGAAGAGAAAACTACGGAGAAAGTGACATAAAAACAGAGAAAATGAGATGGAGGATGCTCTTCTATCATGCTGTTTAGCCCGAAAATGTGTGAAATGCCTGGTCAGTGTCTCAGCTGAAAAAATGTGTGATATAGAAGAAGAGAGGACAAAAGTTGTCACTCCAGTCTATCACCCTTCTCCCTGGCACTCTGGTCAATATGACAGGACTCAGAGCCAACAGATGCACACACTTCAGCCATCAGAGTAGATCAATAATGAGTACAAGCTGCCCTGACAGGCACTCACTTCTCACTACTGCTCCTCTACTATTGGTGAGTAAATAATACGATTCAGTGCCATGTTTGTGTTAAATTATCAATAGAACGATAATGATAACCAATATGTTTACAACCTTTGTCTGGGGGTGAATGTGAAGGATTTACATTGAAGGATTACAGAGACAAATGACGTCTTTGAAGGCGAAGAAGAAGAGAGGTTGGTGTCCTGATGCCTCAGAGGTAAAAGTAGGACTTTACAGTAGCTCATAGTTCATAACCGCTCATAACACAGAAACACAGGAGTCTAGACAACAAGCAGCCATAGAGGGTGAAGGATAAAGGATGAAAACGATTGCTGGACAGAACCCTCAAGGGAAATTCTTGGGTGCCAGTGAGAGTACACGATGGGAATCTCCAAATACTGATTTGAAAGTGGCCACTAGACAGGCTAAAGGTACAGCTGATTACAAAGTAAGCAGAATATCAGAGGATGAAAGAGAGGACATAAGCAGAGGGACCAGGTAGACCTTTAATAGTTGTTTGATAGCATTGAGAAGGGTAGAGAATCCTGTGAAGGGATGAAATGAAAGAGGGTAGTGGAGCATTATACAATCTGTTAGCTGTCAAATCATTGTTCACCAAGGAGACGAGCAGTAGTCTTTGAGCAACAAGAGCAGGAGGTAAAATATAACTTTGAAGAGAAAAAGAAGAGTTTGAGACACTTCACGTCATTAAATTTGCCAATAATTGAATGAATCCTACTATATATCCACATTCAGACAAATTTGTAGATGTCATATCTATTGTACTGTATGTATTTGTGCAGTTAAAAAGTGCATTAATTAATTTATCGGTGTCAATGGTATCAGGTAGCAGCCACTCTCAGAAGTAGCAAATACACCTTCGATTTTATTCAAAAGCCCAACACTTAGTGGGAAATTATTACAAAAAAGTAAGGGACACGGTATTATAGCTGCAACGATTAATGCACAAGCTGTCGACTACAAAATGAATCGGCAACTATTTTGATTATTATTCAATTGGATTGAGTCTTTACTTTCTTGAAGAAAAAGAGTCAAAATGATCTGAATCTAGCTTCTTAAATGTGAATATTTTCTGGTTTCTTTACTCTTCTATAACCCGAACCTGAATTTCTCTGAGCTGTGGACAAAACAATACATTTGAGGACGTCATTGAGAAACACCGATCGAGATTTTTCAAGATTTTTGGACATTTAATAGACCAAACAACTAATTGATTAATCGAAAAAACAATCAAAAGATTCATGGACAGTAAAGATGAGTGATGGTTGCAGCCCTTCACAGTATCACACCATATAACTTCACTTCACACAACCAAAGTGCACTGTCACAGTAAATAACTAACCACATGCAAGGACAAAAGTCAGGAGATCATCAACATTATTATTATTAAATTACTTTTTGCTAAAAACGAAAGATATGACAGCAATGGCGCCTGCTCCAACCCAAAGGAACAAAATAGGCAGTTTAACTGGGAGAAGCTGTTGGTGGAAGATGGTACAGGACAGGAAGCAGAAAGACACCTTGCTCCTGAAATAAGCCCTTTACAGATAACTGCAGCTCAAAGGCTCTCAGGGACATAACTGAAACTATTAAGGCTGATTTCTTGATCTGCACATTCATCCAACAGTTTAGTCGACACCAGCTAATCCACAGCAACTTTATCTTCAACTTTATTATCATCCCAAAGAAATATAAAAAAGATGCTACATATGTCTTTATGTCTGGATCATTGGCATGCGGACCGTTATGGGCGGGTGTGTCGTCAGAAAGAGGCTGACAGATTGTGATAAATGTCTGGCTCAGTTTCAGCATGGACTTGTAGCGGTTACTGGTTGTAGTGGAAACTGGAATACAGCCAGCAAATGTTTTACACACTGTATCATGCCCTTGTGTCTCATGATTCCTGTTTGCATTGCACAGGTTTAACTGCAGAATAATTCAAACATGGAAAGGCAGATTAATAAGTAGGTTGTTGCCACCTACCGCTGCTTTCTCTTGTTGAAGTGCCTGGGCAGCAAAACGTGCAACGTGGCTGATGATCGGAGCAAAGTTTGTTGGGCCGTAGAAACGGATGTGAGGGAGACAGGCGGAGTAGGCCTGGGCAATACCCTCCACACCTACACAGAGAAAGAGACAGAAAGAATTACAATGTTAACAAAGTGTTAACAAAGTGATGAGGGCAGAAGAGAGACAGCGAGCGGGGGGAGGAAGGGAGGTTTGTGATGGGGTGGGGAGAGACACATATGGAAAACATATCTTTGTCATATCTCTCAACTCATGTGAGACATTTTCTACCAAGGGCAGCAGCTAAAGAAAGTCATTGTTTCTCATCAGCAGTGCTATTTTAGACTCCAATCAGCTTAAACAACCAGACAATTAAATGTGTGAATGAGTTAATTTGCCTCCAGAATCAGTCACCTGCATGTTTCTTTGTTTTCTTTTTAAGGGAACTGGGAAGTCAACATTGCATCATAAACACAGGTTTATTTTTAAATATTTAAAATGTCTGTTCTCTTCATTTATATTTCAATGCAATACAAAAACATTATAAAATGTTTCAAAATACACTATAGCAAACAATTATTTTGTGCTTGCTCGGGGAAGATGTAGCTCTGGGCCACAAAGAAGCCAACAACCTATATGTTTAGATAAGGGAGAGTGTTTTCAGCTTGTGCTATTACAAATGGAATAGAGTTGAAAACAGAAAACAAGTCAGTATGTTAGTGCGCTACGAGAGCAGACAGAGGTTCAGTTGGTTCTTGCTAAAAGTTAAGTCAAGTTTATATGCAACAATATCACATACAGTGTTGCAATGGCCTTCACTCCCCAGCCCAATTTTCTATCAAGACAGATCTATAGAATGCTATATATTTGCTTGGCCAACACAGAAGTTAGCATAGTACTGATTCCCTCAAAAAAAGAAAAATAACGCCGGTGGGATTTGGATAATTGCAGAAAATAAGCTCTGTGGCCAACACAAGTTTGTGATCCATCTTTTGTTCAGCAAGACAACCTTCAAAAAAGTACACTTTGAAAACCTTTATATTTTTGAAGCAAAAATAGAATTGCCCGACGTAATAGGCTAACGTTAGGCTAAAGCAACTTACACCACTGTTGCATGACTTCAATGTCACCACCACAGAGCTAAAAGCAGACACGTGATAACGTGTAATGCCCCTGCAACCGCAGTAGTCTTATTAAGCCATCTGTTAGGAGCCACCTAAAGTAAAAGCTTAAAAATGTACAAGAGGGGTATTTACTGAAGCATTTCATATCATAGAACAAGGCCTTAAAATCAACTTGTGTTAACCACAGACCTTATTGCAGGCATCTCACAAAAAAAACATAAAAAGAAACACATTCACGGAAATGCAAATATGCTCATTTATTTATGGGTTTTGGGACTCATTCCTGCAGCACTCTAGTGGACAATATTATGTTTTTGGTATCTGTATTTACCGTGTAAATGTATATACGTTCGTATTTGTTCGTATGGTATCTGGGACTCGTGCACAGTAGCTCACCTGAACAGAAGGGGTTGGTGGGGTTAAAGTTGATGGCAAATTCGTGTGACACCTGAGGAGACAAGAAACCCACACGACAAACTTGATATTCTTCCTTCACTACACTGTAGAATATTGTTGAGAAAGACTATCCATCTCTCCCACACTTTCTCTCCCACCCTCCCATCCTCTCTCTCTCTCTCTCTCTCTCTCTCTCTGTACCGCTCTCTCTCTCTCTCTCTCCTTTGTCCTTTTCATCAGCTCAGTGCCATGGCAACACAGATGGGTTGACAGTTGCGTAATCATGTGAATATGCATGTATAATGCTTACAGTTTTATCTGTGTGTGTGTGTTTGTGTGTGTGTAAGTTTGCATGCAACAATCCCTCCTCTCGCTGTCACACACACACACACAAACATACTGTACATTTATGTATCACTCATACCTGTGTCTAGCACACATGCATGTACACAAACAACAACAACAACAACAACAACAACAACACAGACAAACACACACATACCTTCCAGTCTGGTGGGAGTTGAGCTCCAAATCCCAGAGCAGGAAACATTTTGTCACTGAGGAGGAAACCATGACAGCAGATTGGAACGTTAGTTAAACCTTTTTTTTTTTTTTTTTTTTTCATCCAAATTCAACAAGCTGGATTCAGACAGCAGAGGAAATCCTGTTACCTTTTGCACAAAGAAGCACATTCAAAGACACTAACAGAAAAACTAGCTGCGAGCTGGCAGAAAAATGAAGCAATGGTTTAAAATGGCTTCTCACTCAGAGAAACACCTTCTGTCTGAAGGGAAGGATACACAAAAATGATGTTATCTCTTTTGACTGAGAATGATTTCATCACACTTCAAAGTAACTGTTTAGACAAAAAAATGCATTTACATTATCTTACAAACGGCATAAAAATCTATGAATTATTGGTGGTCGTCAGTATGTTCTTAGTGACACAAACTTGGGACTTTACTTTGAAAAACAGTGAAGAAATAGATGGTTATGGTCAGTAGGCGATTTTTTAATTGGTCGTATCACGCCGCTAACAAAGCTTTGTCCCTAATTTGTCCTGAATTCAGACAGGCCAATCATAACTATAGAACTAGGGACGTACGGGGGTGCCAGGTTATTATGAATCCCGCTGCTCTTCTTGGCAAAATCCGCCCTGTGCAGCATTCATGTGCTGGGATTGGACAGGCGTCCATGCTCGCCAAAGTACTTGGAACCTGATTTGTTGAGGTCCTATGCCCTCTCCAAATAGGTTATCCTGACCCTAACTAATCAAGGCTGTGCCTAACCTTAACTAGTCGTCTCTTCCCCAACCAGCTACGCAGGGCGGGTCTTGCCATGAAGAGCAGTGGGATTCATAATTACGCAGGGATGCCACATTGGGCTAACATGCAGATTTATCATCTATTTTACTCTGAATGAGACCATCATTTAACTAAATGAACATCATGTTGTATAGACGACTTGAAACTAGCGATTGGGAACATAAACTCATGTTTACAATGTTTACTGAGGTAATAAATAAAGTGAGAAGGAGGGTCATTTTCTCATAGACTTCTATACAATGTGACTTTTTTTTCACTTCTGCATTGGCTTCACTTTTAAGACCAGGAGGTTAACACCTGAATAAAACATGTGAGTGCGAATCACATTCTGGAGCCGTTTACTGGCAGGAAGAGAGCTCCGAGATGATTTTTTTTACTTTGAATAGTGAGGGGACCGTGTGTGTAAGTCTGTTAGCACGTTAGCAGAGAAGCTGTAGCAACAACAGTTCAGCAATTAAAGACCGACTTGAGTTTATGACAAATCTGACAGAAGAAAAAGTCACACTTACAAATCTGTCTGCTACTTCAGCACCACGGACAGCTCCATGGATATATCAACACAGCACAGTGAGGCTGCTGATATTTCAGAGCCATGGTTGGGGCTATAGATTCTGACTTGTGCAACCCCCACAGATAAAGGATCAATACGTCAGAATGACTAAAGTAACATATTCAACTAAACAACCCCTCTGCCTCTGCACTCTCTCTGCTACTAGGGGATAGAGAGGGGCGATGGCAGGTTAACAAGGGACATGCATTTTGTCATTTTGCTATCAAGGGGGATGGCATTAATCTGGCAGTAAACAAGTATATGCTATGTAAAGATATGGTTGAGTATTGGTGTCCTGAGCAGAGAATGAAGTCACAGCCCATCTGTGTGTGCTGTAATCTGAGCTTCTCTCTGGTTTGTAATATATTGTATATGTATATACATATATATCAAAGTCCATATTTTTATTTTACTATAATACCTCCACAGGCTATTATTACTGGAGCTAACTTTTTGTTAGTCTTAACTGATTGGAAAGAAGAAGATACTCACGTATCATAGTCCTGTATGATTTGTCCCACAGCCAGAATGGCAGCGAGATACTCGTTGCTGCCCAATGGGTTAATGTAGTGGAGGGAGGACGGCTCTCGGGGGTTCCCATTAGATGCTGTGAAGTCTATACCGACCTATGGAAATACAGAGAAGTGACAGATTCAAAGTCATTTTAGAAACCTGCTGTGATGTCATATTTTAATGAGCTCAAGATACTGTAACTGTTGAGAGTCGTAGCCTGTCTTCTTAATTTCCTGCTCCACTACGCATAACAAAGCAGAATCACCTACAATAATGGAACGTTGGTGAATAAACACAGGCAGCAGCAGCAGCAGCAAACAAACAGGAATGGTTAATTCTCTTTTGACATTAAATAAAAATGTCACAGGAGGAGCCCAGTTTTATTGTTTTCCTTCTGTGCAGAATTGGGCAAAATGATTCATCTGGCAACTACACAAGCTGTGAGTTTTAATATTTCATTTTGTTCAACTCTACTGTATATTCGCTAAATGCGGGATGAGGAATTTAATGTTTTCTCTCATTGATGCCTCGATCAATTAGCTGGTGCCAGTGATGGTTTAGGTTTGTTTCTCTATTTAAAGTACGACCTCCCGTTCGACTGTGTCACGTCCTTGTCAGCGGCCCACGTTGATTCCAACCCGCGGCCCTTTGCTGCGTGTCCTCCCCTCTCTCCCCCCTTTCCTGTTTTTCATTGCACTAATAAAGACAATAAAAAGCCCAAAAAATAATCTTAGAAAATGCAGTTAAAAGTATTACGTAAAACTACTTTGCTACAACTAAATGCCTTGTGCCTTATTTATACTTCTGCGGAAAAGCTTGCGCAGAGCTGCAGATTTTTACAACAAAAACATCCACCTTATTCATTTGAGGCACAGGAGCTCCTCCTCCTCATCCAACTCTTCCATTATCATTTTTTTTCCAGCCATGGAGTTGTATTGGGTCAAAATGATATGTAAATATTGAATCAAATCAAAAACAAAACAAAGACCGCCTCACAAAGGATTTGAAAACCGCATGTCCAAAACAATCCAGTGCAGCACTGTGAATGCCTGAAGTCAGATTCACAGACTGCAGATTTGCCCTCTTTGCCCAAATAAACAAAATAAAAGTTCCAGAACTTTTTAGGAAGTTGAAAACTGCCTGTTGTGTAAGGTTTACTCTGCATGTTAGGCCATTTTGATCAGACAATGGTTACATGTCCTATGTTCACACTTTGAAAAAGAACACCTTCATAACTCAGATGTCACTGAAAACATAACATGTATGTTAAGGTTAAGTATGAAACACACACAGATGCTATCTTTAACAAACTGACTTTAAATACATTGTATTTTTAATGTTAAAGGAATTCATTTGTTTTACTTACATTTTCCTCTGAGGACGGATACAAAAGAAAATAGTGTAGCGCAGCTGTGTCTAAAAATGACAGAATGTCACACAGATGACCACAGGGTGATGCAGCGATCACATACTGTATATCCAAATACGAACACATGAACCCAAAGCATAAAAGGCACAAACACACACACATGGAGTCACACAGCCAAACATAATATGAGATTAATAGTGACAAGCTTTTCCTCAGGCGGTGAATAACGGCCTGTGTGCTGACAAGAACCCAACCCAGAAACTCCGCCTCCTTCCTATCAGCTTAAAGATGGTCTAAAGCATCTCCTTCTTTCTCTTTTAGTTTGGAGTGTTATGAAACAGCAATGTTCTGGTTCAATGGGGACAACGACCGAGGAAAGAGAAAATGGAGAAGCAGGAAGAGAGAGCAAAGGTGCTAGATCTGTGAGTACGAAATTGGGCAAATGAGGTAAAGAATGGAAGGAGAGAGAGGAGACAGAGCATAAAGAGCAGCAGGGGCAGCAGGAGTGATGGACACAGAGATGCAGGGTGACAGAATTAGGGTGCTGTTAGATATTTGGTATAGCATGTGTGTTAGTCCTGGAACGACACGTGTGAAAAAAGACCCATGTGGCATATTACTCTTGTTTAACTGGACTAGTTTAACAAGCTCTATGGCAAACCAAGGAAAAGCAATGACATACTGACAAATATGTTTGTCAGTATGTCAATAAGTTATGCTTTGCGTTATACAAGTCCATTTACCATTTGCCAAATATAGCTTATATTAGATATCTAGAAGTCAATCAGAGCTGAAACGATTAGTGGATTTATCGATTGGTTCATTGAAATACAATTATTAGGATATATAAAATACTGTAATGGGCATTTCTTCTAAAGTCTTATCGACCAAATGATTTGTTGATGAATCATCACTCAAGGCCTTACTGAGACAAGAATGGGACAGAAGTGAGGTCAGATTTACCTTGAGCGTTGACCACCAAAATCAAATCAGTTCATCCTTCAATCTAGGAGGTTTGTGCCAAATTTCCTGAGATAATGCGTTCACGACAACGGACCGCACACAGTGTCTGTCCAGCTTAAATGTAAAGCTAAAATACAGAGGGTGATACTTGGCGTGAATCATTCATTGCGACATTTGACCATTGCAACATTTGGGGGATGTCCCCAAACCCCCCTGACAAGCTCTGGTTTTGGACCTCTCCTTTCTAAAACACTGCTTATTAAAGCGATGTAAGCTCAGTAGTATCGTATATATAGGAGTATCGTAGAGGTTACTGTATGAAACAAACCCAGAATTATTTATCATAAACATACACAGTTTGCAAGCATACTGAAAATCATCTATGAAAATAAAATAAAATGTAATTACAACACGTAAAAATGAAAAAGTAAATTGTGGCTCTAAAATGTCTGCATATAAATCTCCATTCAATTTCCCCCAAAAAAGTGTTTTATTGGCCAACACATTTTTGTTCCTAACCTCTTGATCAATAAACAATGAACTACATGCATGCATGCATATACTATGCTAGTACACATGCATGAATGTGTACACTGCTGGGAAGGATATGACTGTATTTTTCATTTGTTCCTGTTGTTTATATCAGCAACGTCCATTTTTTATCCCTGGTATCCAATAATTTCGTCTTACTATGAACATGAAAATAATTATGCCGAATCTGTCAGTCAATGGCAGACAAACTAAAACGCCATTTTTCCTCCAGTGACCTCTCTGGTGACAGACAGTTTGATGGTTGTGAATTTGACAGTGGGAGATGACACCATTCTGTTTCCAACTTGTTCCTCGCCCCAAGCTATTAGTAATTGCTAACACACAAATAGACAAAACACAAGATGACAAACACACAGTTTCAACAAGCAAGTGCTCAGAATTAAAATGAAGAGGGGGCGACAGAACAGCATCTCATTACTGTACATTTCAGAGCAGCAATGTTGCGAAAAACGTCTGTGACTGAAATGAATTAGAGGGATTCCACTACTGCCAAATTACTGTCAAATAATTGACATACTGACAATCACATTGGAGTTTTCTCAGCTGTGCCGAGTATCAGCCAATTCTCACGCCAGGACCTCTCAGACTCATTTGCAGTTAAACAGCCAGAGAGATGGATGGAGGGGAGTTTGGATGGATGAGTGTGTTGGAGCCTGTGTGAACATCTTCTGGAGTAACTCTAAAAGTCTCACTCGAAGGTGTTCCCAGTGACAACTAGGTGCTGCTGTCCACTGCCAGACTTCTAATGTGGGTCTATTTATGGTCTATTGATATTTGTTCTTGTGTATTATTGGGTACTGTGTCCTCCATGACAAGTTGTATGCAACACACAACAGCCATTGCAAGTTTTGTTCTTTTTTTTAAAACAAAACAATAAAAATCCCAGTATAGTTCCATGTGTCATATGCAGTGATATGAGGTATAACAATGATCCTTTTGTATTGTGGTTAGATATTTTTACTGTCTTCAATGATATATCATATCATCTTGAAAATGGGCCCTTTCCTCAACTGTAGATAAAGCAGGCCTTTATCTGAAACAGCGTTATATTGGAGACATGTCTTTATTCCTAATTAAAAAGTATTTGATTGTTAAAGTATTTTAAGAAATCGAAGTATATTTGCTCAGAATTTAGTAAACTGATTGCCAGATTTTTAAAACTTTATAACTAAGTATTGACGTTCATATAGTCCCAAGAACCCAGCATGGTTCGATCTATTTATTGTTCATTCCTACAGCACTACTTCAGTTAGTACAACAACATAGTCATGCCATAACATAAACACTCCTCTTCTCACCTGCTAATTAAATGGAGTTGATTCTACTTTGCTGTTTTTCATTAAAACTCAAAAGGCACAATCCCTCCCTTAAGTGGTAGGCTTTTAATGTGAAACATCAGCAGGAAATTAGTTCATTGAAAGTAGCTGATCAAAAAAACAACAAAGTAGAAGTGACTGCAATCAATTAATGGGTGACAACCAAAGACTCAAGAGACAGATAAAAAAAAAAAAAATGAACGCAATCATTCATCTGAGGCAGAGATGTCCTCACTTCTAATATAGGTCAAGTTCCAAAGGTCTGGATCCTACAATTCCCATAATGCATCTTTCATTATTAGACCTTCCCTACCCTCTAAATGTTCATATCTGTCACACCTTTCAGTTTTTATTTGCAATAACAGAGCCAGAAACAATTACTATCAGGTACCAGCAGGCTTTGGGAATGATGAAACACAATCAAATATGTTGCCAACGTCGCATGGCCCTGAGATCTGAGAATGACAAATGATATCTAAACAGTGTCATAGACTACAGTAAAGAGAAGGCAGACATTGAAGAAAAAACAAACAGCTATTTGTCATAACTTATATCGTCTGTCAACAGCTGTGACGATGCTTGTCTGTTCTCTCATTCATTAACCGTTTGTTTTCACTATGAATCCACATGGACACGGGCACTACGCTCAACACAGCTCTGAATGATATCAAACAGAAGATATGAATAACAGCGTAATTCCGTTTAAATGAGTCTTTCACAAACAGCCCATCAGCAGTAGCAGCCTGTCTCTTTGTGTTGGAGTGTTTAACAGAGAAACGTTGCTCTCTCTCCTCCAGCTCCCACAGCCCCGAGGAGAGACTTTCCCTTCCTGGAGATTAGGATTAGTGCCATGCTAAGTCTGATTGAACAGCGCAAAACAGCTCTTTCTGCATGTGTGTGTGTGTGTAGTTTTTGTACACGGTGGCTCCTCACTGTATGTGTGTGTATTTAAAATGTGTGCATTTAAGTGTGCACGAGAGGGGAAGATGTCATCGGTGACTGAGCGTCTGCGTGAGATTATGTGTGCTTGTGCATGTCTAAATCAGTCAGTGTGTGTAAGCAGGGAAGGTGCACATTTGAAGATATTGTATATTTGTGTGCACACCTACAGTATAAATCTTGCACAGAGTGCAGAGGCACGTGTGATGAAATGTCCGTGGCAAGAAGATACTGTGTGTGGATTTGTGTGCCACACTCATAGTTTGCATGTAAAGTGGTCGTAGTGTGTAATAGTGAAAGCAGGAGTGTGGCGAGGATATCATATCTTTGTGCTCATGTATGTGTATGTAAATGAGTTTGTAAGCAGGAGAGAGGAAGTATCTGTGCTAAGACAGAATTAGGTGTGTGTATATATATATATGTGTGTGTGTGTGTGTGTGTGTGTGTGTGTGCATCAGTGAAAGAGCTGCAGGTCTGTGACAAAAGGCAAAAGATTAGGAGGGAGCAGCAAGGATTTAAGACTTCCCATTCTGCCTTAAATATGCTCATCTCACCACTACTAGAACAGGCAAATGTTCCCATTGCACTGAAATTATGCTCATTACATACAAGCAAGGTCCTGAGTAAATCAAACTGTCAATAATAACCAACACCCATTTGTAAATTCTACAAATTGTGATATTATTTTATTTTTTATTAACCCTGTATGTTCATCATCCTTATTCAAACACAGCAGTGAAATAAGTCCACGGCTGACAGCTATGAAAGTTGCTCAAAAGTTGCTCAGCTGTGCATGAAGCAAAAAAAAAAAGTTTGACTTTGGAGTTTAAAATTTAGATAAAATTACTCGGATCTTGAGGCAATCTTTCGTATCTGTGGAGCCCATAGAGGAAGCGCACTAGCGTTTCCTTTGACCTTTCCTTTAATTAACCTCCCAGCCGCTCGGTCCAGTCTCGTCTTAGGGCTCATTCACACATAAACAGAGGAAGTAACTCTGGATTGGGGTATTAGTGCAGGACCTGATCATTTAAATAAGGGCTTTTCATGTGTTCACTAAGAAATATATACACTGAGTTACAGATGTCTATTTCCCATTGTAAGTCTATGGGGAAAAGTATTTTTGGGCCCAATGGCATAACGTGATGGACCTTGGACCTTGGGACTTGGACCTTGCACTTGAAGTTTTTCAGTGCGATCTAAAAGAGAGCAGGCTGGATGTAGCGCATCCTAATGTCTGTAAAAACTTCAAAGGACATCCCCACTGGACAAGTCAAAACTCCACACTCTGGTTTTAACTTGTCATGACGAGTAGACCACAGCATGGACTAGAGGAATTACTACTACGTAAGATATTCAGAAATGAAGTGGGATCAGTTGATATTTGACCATTCGGTTACTCGGTTTGCAGCTTTACTAGAGCAGATAAACACATCGTTTAATCCATTCCTTACATTTTTGCTCTGGTGTTTTTGGCTTTGGAAAGGCCCCAAAAAATACATCAACCTCCAAACTCTTTAAATGCTGCTGTCTATCGCTCTTACTACACCAACATGTACGCTGCTTCATTGGGAGAGATCCAAAGCTTGACTGACCTGCCAGTTGCTAAGCAGTAAATGAACGATCGCTGTTTAAGTGGTCAATGTTTTTTTTGCTTTTTTTGTCTGCATCACGAATTTAAATAACCAAAAATAACTGTCACTTATTGATCACGGTGCAAACATTGTCATCCACAGCAAAGAGTGTGTGCAACACCCCTATGCTCTTTGCTTTAAAGCCTCATTTCCAACAATAAGATAAGGTGAAAAGGTGTGTGTGTGTGTGTGTGTGTTTGGATGCTCCCTAACAATGTCCTGAATTCAAGAGAAGATCTAGCAGCTTTCTGCCCCCCCCCCCCGGCAACAGAATACATCCTCCGACACTGACAGCATGTCTGCAGTCACCTCCGCACAACAACTCTCTTGTATCATCTGGAGCCTGGTTCTAGCTCACGAAGCTGGGAAATTGTTGTAGAGATAGAGAAGAGAGAAATGGACACTGTGTATGCACATATGTAGCATATAGCTGGCACAGGGTGTGTGTGTGTGTGTGTGTGTGTGTGTGTGTTCTCTCATTACCTCCGCCAAGGAGGTTATCTTTTCAGTTTGGTTTGTTTGTTGGTTTTTCACAAGGATTACAGAAAAACTACAGAATTAAGGGCGTAGCATAAAAGAAGAACCAAATTAAATTTTGGAGTGGATCTAACATTTTTTCACATAATTCTAATAGTTTGGGAAATATATCCAAACGCGTTTGGCTGCACTTGCAGATTTTCAATCATAACAAATCATAGAAGGACTTGACTATTAGCCTCAGGGGAGGTCTGCCCTTTCAGTTGTATATGGGCGTTAGTGTGCATGTGGTTTCAGAATTTGTGTACATTTGTGTGTGTGTGTGTGTGTGTGTGTGTGTGTGTGTGTGTGTGTGTGTGTGTGTGTGAGATTGGCTATTACAAATTAGGCCTCTTTAATCACTCATTCAGTTACGCACAAAGGTGCACATCACCAGGGACACACAAGACACTCTCCTAACAGCAGACCAAAATACAGTATGACGGTAAAATATCTCTTTCTTTACCTCGTTCTCTTTCTATCTACATATCTTAATCTCACACTAACTTATTCACCATTTCAAAACACACATTTTGTTCATCCACCGTTTTTTTCCTGTTGTCTTTCTGCCCTCCTGTTCTCACTATTCAACAAAAGCACCCACGGTTCAATGTTCCACAATACCCCATTACCCTTCTCTTCCCTGCTCCGCTCTTTTTTTCTGTCCCTCACACTTTTCCTTTCTGTATGTAAATGATCATGAGCCAACTGTAACCCCGGGGGATGAAAATAGAAAACCTGAATGTTTTCCATCTGTTTCCGAGAGTAAGGCATGCAGAAGCATGTATCTCATTACCACAACATTGCAGAAGCAGAAAAACAGGCAGGCTATTATTATACGCACCGTAAACATGAGCTGGCATCCTCCAAGTATGTAATCCAGAAAAGTGTAGTCTCTTGTAATCTAGAGAGACAAGAGTCACAGGGGCAGAGTAGGAAAACACTTAAGGAAAATAAATATAACCTGCAAGAGAGTATTGATTTATCAAGAAAAGGAGAGTAAGCATGTTAAACATTAGATTTAAATCATTAGACTGTTGTGGATCTCACCAGCTTCAAAACACTGTCAATTCTGCTATAAATATGTGTTGTTATTCTTTTACTTAAAGGGATAGTTGTGATTTTTTGAAGTGGGGTTGTATGAGATTCAACATTCAAGAGATTTATTTGCCATTTGCTCTGAAAAAAGTGCATTGGAATTATTTAAACAATGCTCACTGAGTCAGTTTAAAAGGAAAAACAAGAAAAAAGGCACATAGTTAGTAAGATAAATTAAATTAGATTAAAATAGCAGCATTTATAATGAGGTTCTAATCCAAAGTCAGTGTATTACCTACTGTAGACAAGGTTTAACATGCCCCCAGTTTGGAGAAGCAGACATGAGTACGGGTACAGAAGCTAATGTACCACAATTCGAGCGAGGCATCAAGCTTCAAACTACTGTTTTTGTAAATGGAGTCTGGAAGCTTTGAAAAGAGCATCAACGGCTTCAGTTCCCCGTCAGAAAAGTCTGTCTGACAGCAGGGTAAATGGATGAAAATGTTCTACAATTTACATTTAAACTGATTGATTTTTTTGTAGGTCGCTAAAATATGTTTTGCTGCTGCCCTCATCCAGAGGAGTACATTTCTTTGCTTTTGTGCTGGTACTCTAATCTGCTTCTCTAAACTGGAGGTGTGCCTCATACAACCCTACTTGAAAAAATCTGAACCGTCTCTTTAAAGCGCAGAGTCTGACTAATTGTCTACTTATTCTAACACTATAGACTATGTAGTAAACAACTGAACTAAACACATTTAAACAATATTTTAAATGACAAAACAACCCATATTTTTCTGATTCGAGGTACCACCAATGGAGCACCAATTATTATCTTGTCTAACCAAAATTTCTACTCCAATTACAATGAATATTTAGCATGGATTTTACTGTCATTAGTCTAATCCCTGCCCGACAGCCAACAAATATAATTACTGTATTAGCTGTTTCGTGCAAGCGCTGGGTGTGTACGTGTAAATTGCTTTATGTGTGTATGAACATGTCCGTACAAAGGCTTGTTCATGGTTGTGAGCATGAAAAGAAGAGGAAGGAAAAGAATCAATTATGAAAGCTCGTCATCATATGCACACAGCTCTAATGTCATTCCAATGGGAATCTAAAGACTCTGTGTTTCAGCTAAATGTGTCCTCTGTGGGGCTCAACGTTACCAAACAAATGAGTTATTCAGAGGGAGTTAAAGACACCCAATAAGAAGTGTGTCAGAACCACAATGGTTTAATCAAATGTTCTATTGAGTCGATGGTAGGATGGGTCATCATGAGGTGACGAGACGTGCAGAGATTTTTGTGGAAAGTCAAGAGAGTTCTTTTTTGTTTTTTAATTCATCCTGTTGATATTCTAAATGGGAATTCACCTTGAGGTAGCTTAAACCGGCATTAATTACTTTTGAAATTAACACTGAATTTAGAGCTGATACAATTAGTAGTCGATTGACAGAAAATGAATCGGCAACTAAAATTGAAAGCTTGAAAGTGGAACAACGCCTGTGTCCTTTTTTGGAGTGACTCTACTCTTAAATATTGAACATTACAGCAATTGCACATTAATTGGTGTAATACCTCAACTGTGGATTCTGCAGGGCGCAAACGCAATAAAACGGCACAGGGAGAGATTAAGTGGGAAATGTGCTTTGCATGTGATTCCACAGGTCTATGTGCCAGGCTAACTATAGAATAACAGTGAGAACCCAACCATCAGTCTTATGATATACACTATCTGCCCCAATACCAGCAGTCATCATTCAGAAGCAACCAAAGATTAAGATTGCAAAGCAAACATGGATGCTGCTGAAAAATGACAAGACCATCCATCTATCCATCCATCCATCCATCCATCCATCCATCCATCCATCCATCCTTACCTTACATGACTTGACAATGATGAAGCCAGAGTTCTTATAATTCTTCTTCTTTTTCTGTTTCTTGGGGTTGATGCAGTCAAACTCTACCTGAATAGACATAAATACAATTGCAGAGAATAAAAAAGATGACAAGCATTAGTATCAATGGTAAAAGTAGAGTTGACAGCACAGTTGTAAAGAATCGGTGAGATGGGGGAGAAATGAACAGACGACTGAGAAGCTGACTTGGATCTGCATGTATTCCACACGCCGCCTACAATAACTACAACCTGACAGTCAAACTTTGAGATGCATTAACAGCAAACTATTCTATAATGGTGTAGTTAGTAGTCTATGTGGGAACCCACATTTAAAACAAAGATACTGTTTATCAGAAACACTTTGTGAATTGATTTGACCTGACGAACACGAAAGAAAAACGACTCTTTAATACTGTAAGTCACACAAACACACATTAGATAGCAATACGTTTGGTGAAAAGATACATTTGAGACATGCAAACACACACACACACACATCCACACTCACACTACACAGCCTCACATGCCTTGAGTCAGCTGGTGGTTCATATGACAGGTAGCTCTAAATGCCTTGTCGTGTTACTAGGGCTCAGCAAAAGGCTGTTTTACATCTCAAACGCACCTCTCATTTTCTCATCCTTCTTTTCACACTGTCTCTCTCTCTCTCTCTCTCTCTCCATCCCCCATCTTGTTATTTTGTGTGTGTCTGTGTGTGTGTCTGAGTCCCCACATCATTACCACACATGAAGAGACTCAGTGGGAGAACAAGTCATGAGGCACATGCACACACGCAGTTTCACAAATTGACACACACACACACACACTTCCTCACAAACACACAGAGCTACTAATGAATAGACGTTTTTCTGATCCCTGCATCTTTAGATCTTGAGCATACCAGAAATGCAAAAGTGAAAAGAATACGTCTCAATAGTATGTATTCATTAGCAGCTCAGACTTAAGACCTCGGTGGCCATAATGTGTGAATGCAGCCATGCAAATCTGTGCATGATAATTCCTGCTTCACTGTTGACACATGCGACTCAATGCATTTAAACTGTAAATTAGCCAGTACGGGGCAGAGTTGTGGCCAATTCAGTATAGCTGAAAAAACAAGTAAAACTGCTATCCATTGGTTAATGACAGAGCATGATTCTCAATCCCTCTGTCTCAAATTCACCTTTTATGTTTATTGCAGAGCATTGACAAAATTGTAACACTGAAAAAATTAAAGTTACAGCAAACATTCAGGTTATCCAGGATTTAGCAATTAAATACAATTACATCCTGTCACGGTCTGTTTCTCTGTCCCACCTCTCCAGCCACATTCCCTATTTCCCAGGCCCCTTTATTGCCATTTTCCATCCATCCACCAGATGCCTACGACTCTCCTTCCTCATCACCTGACTACCCCACCCATCTACACACCTGTCCCCACTTCCATCATCTGCTCTGCTGCTCTGCCTTGCCTTGCCTTTCCCAACCATCTCCTCACCTGCATTTTATTCCCTCATCTGTGTTTGGGTCCAATCCCTGTTGCCTGAATTCACCCTGTGACAGATTACATTATATTGAACTAACAAAAAAAACTCACACTTAATCACACGAATGTCAAATATGTTTTACCTCCACTGAGGTCTGGGCTTCACTCATCTTGGCAGCTGTGGTTTGAAACTCTCCTATGAAGTCATGGCCTCCATCATTGTCATAGTCGTAACACAGGACCTGTCGTTGTGTAGAACACAGCACATCACGCCATCTCCTTTTACATTTTACAACCAAGTGGGTTAGCTTGTTTAGCTTCCTTTTGAGAGTCAAGTGGTTATTTCTCTGGTATTTTTGCCCTCTTTACACTTCTCCTTGCAGCTCATCCTAAAAACTTGCTATTCTAAAACATGAATAATTGGTGACATTCTACATGAACTGTAGCAATTTTGGGCTTGGACATGGACTTTATTATTTACTATTTGTAATAACAACACAGCATCTGATAATGAAACAACATGATCAGACTTTGATGCATTGGTAACTAGTGCATTAGCGTGCTACATCCTGTCAATCTGCACTGCTAACATTTAATAAATTCAACACCACACCAGTTTTGTAACAGATGAAACTCTGACCTTGATGTTTCTGTCCACATCTCCATTGCAGAGAGAAATGAGCGGCACAGTAAAAGGTTTCCATGCTGGATCCAAAGTGTTCTTTATGACCTGAAGTCACAGATAAAATGAAGAGGCAGCTAATCATTGAATTACACAGCAGCAGATGAATAATGCCGTTGTAGCCACAGCAGAATTACCAACACTTGGGGCTATAAAGTTACAGTGTATGACCTTCTGTAAGACCAGGTTTAGCTGACAATGACCACTCATGGTTGACAATAATGACAGTTAGATAAAGGTGCTTTTAATCCCCACTGATGACTCACCTCAGTCCTGTGCACCAGCATCCATTTGCTGTCTTCTCCCTGTTTGTGAAACTCCAGGTAGGGGTCTGACTTCCCAAAGAAGTCCTGCACAGAACAGAGAGTTTGTCATTTTAAGTCTTGTCCTGTTTTCTCCTAATTATTTAATATATACTGTATATACAGTATATATATAGTTGTGTGAAAAAGTGTTTGCCCCCTTCCTGATTTCTTATTTTTTTGCATGTTTGTCACACTTAAATGTTTCAGATCATCAAACAAAGTTAAATATTAGACAAAGATAACACAAGTAAACACAAAATGCAGTTTTTAAATGAAGGTTTTTATTATTAAGGGGAAAAAAAATCCAAACCTACATGGCCCTGTGTGAAAAAGTGATTGCCCCCCCCTGTTAAAACATAAATTAACTGTGGTTTATCACATCTTTGGAAAGCTAAGTTCAATTTCTCTAGCCACAGCCAGGCCTGATTACTGCCACACCTGTTCTCAATCAAGAAATCACTTAAATAGGACCTGCCTGACAAAGTGAGGTAGACCAAAAGATCCTCAAAAGCTAGACATCATGCTGCAATCCAAAGAAATTCAGGAACAAATGAGAAACAAAGTAAGTAAGTAAAGCCATTTCTAAAGCTTTGGGACTCCAGTGAACCACAGTGAGAGCCATTATCCACAAATGGCGAAAACATGGAACAGTGGTGAACCTTCCCAGGAGTGGCTGGCCGACCAAAATTACCCCAAGAGCGCAGCGACGACTCATCCAAGAGGTCACAAAAGACCCCAGAACAACATCCAAAGAACTGCAGGCCTCACTTGCCTCAATTAAGGTCAGTGTTCATGACTCCACCATAAGAAAGAGACTGGGCAAAAATGGCCTGCATGGCAGAGTTCCAAGACGAAAACCACTGCTGAGCAAAAAGAACATAAAGGCTCGTCTCAGTTTTGCCAGAAAACATCTTGATGATCCTCAAGACTTTTGGGAAAATACTGTGTGGACTGACGAGACAAAAGTTGAACTTTTTGGAAGGTGTATGTCCCATTACATCTGGCGAAAAGTAACACGGCATTTCAGAAAAGGAACATCATACCAACAGTAAAATATGGTGGTGGTAGTGTGATGGTCTGGGGCTGTTTTGCTGCTTCAGGACCTGGAAGACTTGCTGTGGTAAATGGAACCATGAATTCTGCTGTCTACCAACAAATCCTGAAGGAGAATGTCCGGCCATCTGTTCGTGACCTCAAGCTGAAGCGCACTTGGGTTCTGCAGCAGGACAATGATCCAAAAGACACCAGCAAGTCCACCTCTGATTGGCTTAAGAAAAACAAAATGAAGACTTTGGAGTGGCCGAGTCAAAGTCCCGACCTGAATCCGATTGAGATGCTGTGGCATGACCTTAAAAAGGCGGTTCATGCTCGAAAACCTTCCAATGTGGCTGAATTACAACAATTCTGCAAAGATGAGTGGGCCAAAATTCATCTACAGCGCTGTAAAAGACTCATTACCAGTTATCGCAAACGCTTGATTGCAGTTGTTGCTGCTAAGGGTGGCCCAACCAGTTATTAGGTTTAGGGGGCAATCACTTTTTCACACAGGGCCATGTAGGTTTGGATTTTTTTTCCCCCTTAATAATAAAAACCTTCATTTAAAAACTGCATTTTGTGTTTACTTGTGTTATCTATGTCTAATATTTAACTTTGTTTGATGATCTGAAACATTTAAGTGTGACAAACATGCAAAAAAATAAGAAATCAGGAAGGGGGCAAACACTTTTTCACACAACTATATATATATATATATATATATATATATATATATATATAGTTTATAGTAGCAATGGGAAATTGTTGTTGTTAGTTATATTAATGTATTTACTATACGAGGTGCTCTGCATTCCTGCAATGACTGTGCTATGTGTTTATCCTGGTGGTTTAACCAGAGGGTGCACAGCAGGCACACATCAGCATTGTTCAAATCACAATTCAAGCTGTGCTGTTTTTGACCCACTGTCATTCTTCCCTCCACCATACACCGGCAGCTACTCCATGGATTCAAGTATGAGAATAAACTGTTGTGAAAATAAATAAAGAAATCCTGCATGGTTTTCCTTTCCAACTATCTGTGCACCCGATTAGTTGGCAAACAAAGGTGAAGGGTGTGAAAACATGTCCTGTTTATTTGTGGGCTTACTGGGCTTTGCTGGTGTGTTCTGAAGCACTATGTGTTTCTCTAATGCACAGTGTGCATGTGTGCGTGCTTGCTTGCATCCAGAGTATGTGTGTGTATGTGAGTGGGTCTAACTGCCTACCTTTTTATCCAGTTTACGCCCACTCAGGGTCAAAGTGATGATTCTGTTGTCAGACAGCTCCTGAGCTGTTATCTAAAATAGAATTACAGCACAACATTAGCTGCAGCAAAAAGTACTGGCAACTATTAACATTCACATGGTCATCAGCGGGTACTGCAGCAGCAACAATCACAGAATCAACAACATCTTCATCATCGCTGTCTTCATCATCATAGACAATAGCAAACGTGCCATTATAGTGAACAGCAGCGACTGCATCCACATGACCAACAACCACTGATAATACGATTCAGTGTGTTTGTGTGATGGAGTTAAAGATACAGAGAGAGCGGCAGTATTATTCTCACCGTAATGGATCCTTTGCCAGCTGGCTTCCCATTGGCTAAGATCAGCGGTCTGTGAAGTTTCTTATTGGACACAATCTGATGGACAATTAGAGAGAGACACACAGGACGGGAATCAATTACACTAAGACGAAACAGAAAACTAAAGAAATGTGGGTTTGAACCACTGATCTTTATTCCAGCCTTTCCGACTCTCAACTTTGAGGAATGAATAGCAGGCTGAGTGAACTGATGGGGATCGAGACTTTGGGGTCGGGTAGCATAGGCCACATGAGGGTCAATACATTTCATGGCAACTTCTACTCTGCCATCCTATTTAATACAAAACCAACTTTGAACTGGGAAAGGAGAAATCCTTCCATACCAATCCCAGTGTGCAAATGAACTCTCCCAGGAAGTCGTGTTCATAGAGCTGTGTGGCACACTTGTCTTCATCGAAAATGGCAAAGCGAAGCTTCTGGATCTCCTCAAAGTGGTAGTCCACATGAAACTTCATCCCAAACACTGGGTTCAAGTTGTTCACGGCTGTTTCAGTGCGACCGAGCTAAAAGACAAGAAACAAGGAGAAAAACTTTTAAGACAAGAAATAAATCAAACACATGAACTTTAGTGGATTTAGTCATGTTCACTGAAAAGGCACCAATAAGGGTCCGTTTTCAGTTTGAACTTTTAACATCAAGCTGCCCAAGGACTGTGGATAAGTGATAGCCATTTAACTAAATCGGGCAAGTTTGTATCAAATAGTTTACGTTTACATGCACACTAGTGAACTGTAAATCGCATCTGGGTTGTGATAATATTTAATACATGTTTAAATGGAAAACAGAGTAACTTGGTTGTATCATCCAATGCAGGTTTGTCTCTGACTCCTTCACATCCACCATCTGTCTGTACCAGAGGTAGCCAACACGGTGCCCGCGTCGCCCGCAGGGACCACGTGAGTCGCCGGCAAGGCATGTTCTAAAAAATAGCACTAGTGTGTTTCCTACCATCATTGTTGTGGAAATCATTGTTAATAATAATTAACATTGACATGTGATCAGACACATCACATGTATTATTATTGTTATTATCAAAAGGTGATCTGTGCAACTTTGTTATTCAGGAAGCTTGTATCAAACAAGTAGCCCTTCGTACTATGTACCCTTGAAGTAGCTCTCAGTTTCAAAAACATTGGTGACCCCTGCTCTACTGTCTATACTGTACCATACTGTCATTTCTGTACCAAAATGAGTTGAGGATGAACACACTTTAGTCTCGGCTGCCTGGACTCTATACTGCATTTAACACTCTTGGATTAAACTTCTCCATCACCAGTAAGGAAATACAAGAGCAACAAAAGATGAAATGAATAAATAACTGTCCTTAAATACTCCACTACGCAATGTAATGCAGAAGCTGGTTATTACTGCTGAAACAACGTCCAGTGGAGCATCGTAACTGTATAAAAAATGCCAAGAGGTTAAGGTCAAGTAAATGCAATATCCTAACGATATTAATACAAAAAAACTCACTTTTAGCAGCTGTGTTTTAAGTCTCCAGTAAACCTGTTGGGTGCTTTAGTTCTCCACCAAGGCCTGAAAAACAATATAAAGAGTCTACAGCCATGCAAACAGCTCTGTTAGGCTCTATTTTTCTTAATATATCCATGGTGCTTGTACTGCCGTAATTTGAGCTTAATGCTAATGTCAGCATGCTAACGTGTCCTCAACGAGAATAACATGCTAACGTTAAGCAGGTATGGTGTTTTCCACGTTTGCCATCTTAGATTAGCGTGCAAACATTTGATAATTAGCATAAACAGCAAGTACAAATAAAGTTGACGGGAATGCCATTCGTTTTGCAGGTATTTGGTCATAATCCAATGTTTTAGAAACATTTAAATATTATTGTTATTATTTAAATACTAGCGGAAAAATCTGAGGATCACTAAAGTAATCACGATCCATCCTGAGGGCAATCCAACAATTGTTGAGGACAGTTGCTCTCTTTGACTCAATGTTAAAAATAAAAAAAAGTTATTAATGTTTTAACCCTAACTTCAATTTTCCACATCCTCAATGACTTTTCCCAGGTAGATCCAGCTTTGAGATACAAACAAGTGATGAATTATGATGGCCCCCAAAAATAACCCGGACAGCACACAGACAGATCACAGTGTGTGGGTGTCTGCAAGAGCACTGTGAGAGTCATGTTATTTGCTCCGGGTCCTCTGAACCAGGTGGTTGGATGACTGATACTCACTGGCTGAGCTACTCTCCACTCTGACTCACCCTGAACACAGTGCTTAGTGTGTTTATCCAGCATTAGACAAGGTCAGTATACGTCTAGCCTGTCACCACTTCTGAACTGAAGTGAATATAAAAAGCATTTTTGAATGGTCATTGCACTGATAAACCGGAGATGGTGGCCATGCAATGTCAACACTAAACTGCATCTGTGTCCTGCTGATTAACAAGCACTTTGCTTTGTTTGTTGTCATAATATTACAGTGTTTGCTGATGTGGCGTTTTAATGCTTGGAGATAAGTGTTGCTAAATTTAAGGGAGCTAAATTTGAACAAGTTCACACGCAGAATAAAGTGCTACATCTTTGGTTGGTGACGCCAATACATATTTTCAAAATGACTGGATGGATTGCCATGACATTTGGTACAGACATTGGAGTCCCCACAGGATGAACTGTATTTACTGTGGAGATCCCCTGACTTCCATCTAGTGCCACCATCAGGTCAAAAATCACTTTGTCCAAACACCTGGAAAAAAGAATGACATTCCCATCATCCTCGGCTGTACTATAGGTTTAGTGCTGAGTTGGTACTTGATTCACCAACTTCCAGTTCGTGACCCATGAAGTGGACACTCACTCTCTCACACACAGGGCAATGTCATGATAGCTGCTTACATTGTAGATGCTCTCCTCCCACATTCATCTTTTTTTTCATGCATTCTTTTCTAATCTTCCTCAACTGTGGAACATATAAATCAGTTTGTCCTAATGAAGATGTCCCGAGGCAGCTGACAATCTCCACTGTTGTTTGATATGATCACTTATCAGTGTTTTCACAGTATGCGGTAGTAGCAAATAACTGTATAGACATAAGGTACCTCTATAAATACGCACCTTCTATTAATGCTTGTATCCAAATATCTTACGTTTCTCTGACTCGGGATTGTTCTTACAAAAGAACTGAGGAGAGACAGGCTTTAGACCCACAGTACTTCAGAGAGAAAAAGGTTTTTAACTTCAGCCTGCTAACAGCACTTATCCATCTGTCTGACGCATGGGAAGAGAGCAGAGAGTACGGCTGCACTTTTTGGCTTAAAAACTGATATTGGTGGGTCATCACGGGAGCCCAGCAGGCTCAAGTGCATGTCTCATATTTGTGTCACTGTGGATTTGAACCTGGCTCACCGGACTATGGAAATGAATCAGACCCTTTTTTATCTGTCTATGTTTATTGTTGCAAAAAGAGACAAAAACAGAAGCAAACACAACAGGCAACTGAAACAGACCTTTTCCTCTTAGATACAAATGGTGGAATATTAACAATACGAACAGCTGGATGCAACAATAGCTTACTAAGTGGGTAGTTAGGTAGAACGTTACTGCAGGGATATGATAACAAGAATGTCTTCAGACTGCAGTCAAACCTGAAGAATAAAACATCACACTAGCTTCAATAACATCACACAATTTGTCTACTTTGCTACTGTGCTCTGCCATCTTCTTTATGAGCACTTTTTTTTTTTGATTGTGAGAGTTTGTTAATTGGCAATTCTTTGGGACTTAGCTAGTGTTGACTGGTACGTTGTTTTTATTACCCAAGGACCTGAGGAATACGACTGCTCATAACGATCTGAAACTTTTTAAAGTGTGTGTCCGTGTGGTTTAGAGCTGAGTGTGTACATGCGTGTGGGATTTTTAAAAATGTAAATGACCAGTATGAATACAATGAGGATAAGTATAGTTTTAGTTCTTTCTGTTGTTTTATTAATAAGACAGAGAAGAGACATCACAGCCAAACAGCTCAATGCGAGGAGGTTGAATTAATAAGACGAGCACAACTGGTTTCAAAGACTCACATCAGAGAAGCTGCCGTCAAAAAGGAATTACCTGGACAAACGTGCAACACCAAAACAAACACACAATTCCAAATAAAAGAAAGCAGTTACAGTGTTTCAACAGCAAATGTTGCTTGTTTACACGTTGAGCAGATACGGAGTCCCGTCTCTCCAGCAAACTTTGTCTGTTTGCTGTTTGGTGCTGGGCAGGTAGAGTACAGGGGAGCTGCTCGCTGATGAAAATGAGGTCAATGAGAGTGGTGGGAGTGAACCCAAACAGTAGAGTTGCTTGTCTAAAACCAAAACAACGACCTGAAAGATTCTAAAATCCAGATCTGATCCATTGTTAATGTGAACATTTTCACTGGAGCAGCTTCAATAGACCACGGTTCACCATTATGTGGATATTTGAATTGATCTGTTAAATCACTAAACACCTAAAGTAACCTCACAAAGGACCTTGTCATTCAGATAACCTCCCTCAGATGCTCCATTGAAATGTGTATGATAATGCAGAAATATCCTTTAAAGCGCGGTTAAGTATCGCAAAAATGGATCCAGCAAATGACATTACAAGTCTACATAAGGTAGAAGATGTGACTTTAAACCCCACTGAGTTTAACATCCCCTCTGTACGCGGTAAAACATCATGTATGGGAGTTCTCACTTTCAGTGGTAAAGGCGTATATCTGTGTCGACAACGTGTTGAGATTAGTACGGGGATTTATAGTTCAGAGAGAGAAAAGGAAATGGGAGGAATAGCCAAAGCAGTCTGCAAACTGGGTGCCACGTCCTTTACATAGCAGAGATCCATATTTCTGTAGGCCCATCATGTTCTTTAAAGCCGCTCTATCACCAGCTTTAGCCGTTATCATAATCTGACATCGTGGTTTCCTTCATTAACCTCTTTACATCATTCTGTTCATTCTCACTTCTTTTTCTATCTCCTTCTTCCTCTTCTCCTTCTCGAACCTCTCTTTCTAACGCTAATTTTTCCCTCACCCTCTGTTTCCCTCCAGCCTTTTCCCATCTCCCTCTCCCTCACACCTCCTCGCTCCAACACTCTTACACCCCCCCCCCCTCTCTCTCTCTCTCTCCCTCTCTCTCTCTTTCCCCCTGATGGGCCCAGCTGCTTCTCACACCTCTATCTCACAAGACAGACAAGGATAGACAGAAAGTGAGACGGAGAGAGACAGAGGGGGGAAGACTGGTGACAGAAATGAGAGAGACAATTGGAGAAAGGAGGAGAGAGAAGACAAAGGTAACAGGAGGGGGGATCAGAGGAAGTGAGAAAGCCGGGTAGTGAGAGAAAGAGCGCGCTGTGGATGATATCAGAGAAAAAGGTTCGGGCCTCATTTCGCCTCCTCCATCGTTCCCTCACTCCAGAAGCACTAAGCTTTTGTTTCCCTTCCCGTTGCCATAGAAACCGTTGGCAATTTCACATCGGAGCCACATGCCCTGCTGACCGACAGCTAGCTACAACCCGAGGCACTCGCCTACACACACACACACACACACACACACACACACACACACACACACACACACACGCACATACACAAAAGCCAGTTTGCCCTGTTGATCAGCTGTTCGCTACAGAGAAGCCTTGAGGCAGCAGCCTACACACACCAAAACTTCATCACCATGTTCCTCTTTAGCAGCTCCAACTTAGCGCTCATGTTGTTATTTTTCTGCAACCTGCAAATGCTGTGTCAAATCATACATTCACATCACATGTTGGTGTACAAGAAACAGAACACGAAGTGCAAAGCGCTGCCCTGGACTCAACTTAACTGCGGATTGATGCAGCACTACTGCAAGCATCGCTCGTCAGTCACAATAGATGTCAGAGCGTCTCTCTATTTTCTCTTCACTATTGCAAGCCAAATTTGTTCAATACAAAGTTATTGAAGAGGGAAAATAAAGCTCTGTGATCTAACACGACGGCTAACTATAGATTAGCTAACGGGACAAAGATCATGCTGTCAATTCAAAAGATGTAGTTCAAATGCTGTTTCAAAACAGCCTTCAAATGGTTCCTCTTTTGTTTTTTTCCGACAGAGGAGGTTAAATAAAAGTGAACGGTGCAACACAGCTAACAAGCTGCAGCAACGTCCTCCATGTTGGACTCTGTTGTGTCCCCTGTATTGATGGCTTGCTATTGGTCAACTGCGTGAATACCGCTGTCAGATGTCAGAGTTCACCAAAGTTGAACTCTACGTTGAGCAATTTCTCAGCTAATTACACCTCAGTGTGGATGCACTAATTCAGTGGTTGCCGTGAAATTTCGCAGCTTTAAATCATGGTGTGACCAAGCTTGTAACCTGCATGTCTTTGGACTGAGGCAACGAGCACGGAGAGGACGAGCAAACTGCACACAGAGAGCGCAGCACCTTCGTGCATGCCCAGAAACTAAGTTGATAACACTGTTTGTTGAAAGCAAAGATTTAGCATCCCTCTATAATAATAATGTACTTGCATTTTTGAGGGAATTCATTACATTTCTTCTAACAGGAGAGTCATGGACATGCCAGTCAAGCACAGCTTGTACGTATATGCCCACACAGTCAGACGTCAGGTCTGATCCGACCCCCTAATCATAATCACATGTGTGGCTTTAAGTGCACTTTTCATTGCTATTTCTGGTCCACCATGTTACTGTTACGTCTGTAACATGTCTGTACTATTGTGTCAGTGTGTTTCTAACCCTCACATGTTACAATAGTCACAATCATGGGAATCATTCATCCCATATAATGTGAAAAAGGTTGACAAGCACATTGTGTGGTATTTAGCAGTTTACATGAAAGACGAATACATAATGAACAAAATAACAAGCTTTAACTAGGCCACCTAGACTGTGCTGAATATGTACTAGTTTGCACAAACCATAGATTAGGACGCACTAATACAGATATATCAGAGATAAGCTTATCTTGGCACATTATGGAACCTACTTGTGGAACCTTGTATAATTAACTTGGCAGCCCTGATAGCTTCTGTGCGTTGCCAGTTCAACGGTTGAAGAACGTTCACGAACGTTGCAACATCGTACTGGGCTCAGCGCGCCGGGGCTCATGCCAGATGGTCAAGACATCATGAGTTTGGCTCTGGCTCACCACATATAACCGTCTGCAAAGCAACACAAGACAACAAATAAAATCCTTTGGTCTTTCTTTGCTGGCAGAACCAGCATGGCGGGCGTGACCTTGAAAGCACTTCTGACACTTCTACAATTCTCCATCCTCCATTTAAATCTTCTTTTTATGTTTGCCTCGCTTTTATCCTCTTCTCTCCGCCTCCCTGGCGTTGAAATAAACAGCACGGCGAAGCACCAGAAATGGGTTTGACTCCATATGATCCAAACACTAATATATTATCTCTGTTCAGCCTTTTCCCACCAATCTGCCATTTGCATCCCCCTGCTGATTTCTCTCCATTTTACAACCTGTTTTAAGAAGACAAAACGTGCCTTTTCTTCACTCCTGTCTTTTTTTTCTCCAGCACATCGCTTCCTCCATTTATCGCTCCATCTGTCCGTTTTTTCTCCTTCCCCGCCATCATCCCTCCATCCTTACCTCCACCCAGTTTCCATCCACCTCGTGGAAGAGAACACAGAACGGGTCCGACTTGGAGGCTACATCTCGGTCCAGCAGGCTGGCTGCGGTGACGGACAGCTCCACCCGGGTGACGCAGTGCTGAGGTCCGACACTGCGCGTCTGGCCGTCAGTGGTCGAGCCTTGAGTGTAGGCCATGGTCTGAGGTCACAATTAATCACCCTGGAGCACAGAAAACAAAGACATAAGCGGAAACAACTAGTTTCATACATGCCCACACACCATCCCACACTGGCTATTTCTTGACACTTTGAGCTAAATGCACAAGGATGCGAACAGTCTTGTGTTTAACTGGTACAATGTTCATTAAGTTCACATCTTAGTTTAGAGCAGGAACTTTTACCGGGCCAAGGAACCCTATTGATAGAGAGACGGAGCAGGGACCCCGTAATACATACGTATAACCTTGTTATGCATAATACACTACAATAACGCGTAGGGCTGCCTAAAGTGCCATGAATTAGCATACCTTTTTTTATGGTGCATACAATACTAAGCTATTAAAATAATAACATGTAGCCACTTGTTTACCGTTATGGATGGGTGTAAGCATGGGTTAGCATGGGTTAGCTAGCTCATGTGACATCAATGAGTTATTTTGCTTCTTTGCTAATAATAAGTTGGATTCATGTTACTGTTGTGTGTATTATCGGACACATTTTAATTTAAAAAAAACATTCTAAACATTATTATTATCATAAACATTGTCGAACAATGCAGTAACTCCACGGACCCCCTAGGGGTCACTCACCCCCTGTTGAAGACCTCTGGTTTAGAGTTTTAGATAGATAGATATAAACTTTATTCATCCCCAGGGGGAAATTAGTTAGTAGCAGCAGCAATTTACAGAGTAGAATAGAATATAAAATATTACATATGGAAATGCACAATATATACAGTACAATAAAATAACAGAGCAGAAATTGAATTTGAAGAAATAGAATAATAAAAAATAAAAATGGAAAAAATGCACAATATATACAATGAATTAGAATGGTATTAAATTAACAACTAGGTAACCTAAACAAACTAAACATTTGTGCAAGGATCACCAACAACAAGCAACAACCGGGTAGCGTTGTTGTAGTCATTTGAATGATGATGATCTGGCCAGAGGTGATATATTATAGAGTCTAATGACAGTTGGCAGGAATGTTCTCCTGTATCTTTCCTTGTGACAGCGGAGCTGGATCAGTCTGTTGGAGAAAGTGCTCCGCTGTCCCTGCAGTAGGTGGTGGAGAGGGTGGTCCGGGTTATCCAATATGGACAATAGTTTCTTCAGTGTCCTCTCCACCACCTCTTCCAGATAGTCTTGTTTGCAGCCAATGATGGAGCCGCCTTCTTAACCAGTTTATTAAGTCTGTTGGTGTCTCCGGCTCCAATGCTGCTCCCCAGCAGACTACGGCGAAGTACAGTGCACTGGCCACAACAGACTGGTAGAACATCTCCAACATCTTGCTGCACACGTTGAAGGATCGAAGTTATTCAAGAAAAAGAGTCGACTCATCCCCTTCTTGTACACAGTGTTGATGTTGGTCTTCCAGTTCAGTCTGTTGTCGATGGAGACACCCAGGAACTTGTACTCCTCTACCATGTCCACGTCCTCTCCCAGAACTCTCAGCGGTTGTGGAGCCGTCGTCTTCCTCCGCGTGCTAATATTAGTAACACTAAAAACAAAGTACAGCAGAGGCTGCTGGGAGTGTCATAAGTTGTGCAGGACTAGCTGCAAAAAACATTTAAAGATTACAAGTTTACCTAAGCTGATCTCTGTGAACTGTACTGTACTGTAGGTTGTTGTTTACATACACAGCTATGGCTGGTGTCCAGGATAAGGTGCAATTACTCGTTATGGGTCTTTCTTTACAGGGGTAAATGTGTGTGTCTTACACTGACAGAAGGCAAAATCATGAATTTCAGGAAACGCCACCACAGAGAGGAAAATAAGACGCTATCAACACACTGGGTGGTCATATCTGTTGCCAGGCAGATTGTGTATCGCCCTACAGAAATCAGTCTACAGAGGCAGATACACAAAATAATGCTGCAGAAGAGTTGGAAATTAGTTGAATTTAGGTAACATTTCAATGTTTACTCCTTTTAGATATGTGTAACAGAAAAAAGAGAGAAAACGCACACAAGCGCAAAAGGCTCCAGTTTAATTAGATACTGTCTGGCTAGAAATACACACTGAGGAAGATTTAAACACAGCTGTAAACATATGTAGCATGTGAGACCCTGACGTTGCAGGTTGACCCTAGCTCTATCACACACTCACACACACACACACACACACACACACACACACAATCAAAGCCATCGCAGAACCTCCAAAATGGAGACGCCTCACGCGAGGAAAAAAAACACATGAAGAGAAAACACGCACGTATGTCTTGAAACACTTTTTATTTAAAAAACAAAGTGTGCCTGAACATGATGTTCTCAGGAATAACTTGGGTCATATTTAAAATAATAATTAGAGGCTTTAAGGACAGATAAACGGCAGAGCACCTTGTGTCCATCGGAGTGGTTTTGTTCTCAGAGCAGCAAGATAAAAGGATGCTGTCTGTTGCTAAGATACTAATGTGTCATAACCAGCGTGCTCCTCCCGGTCTGCTCCTGTGATGTCACACTGGTAGTGGTGATGTACTGAAAATACCATTGTAATGTTTTCATTCATTTACTCACTCATTCATAGGTGGTGAAAAGCTTGCTTTGACCGGCTGAAACACTTTCAACCCTTTAATAATTGATCGTGGGTGATGAATGGATGAATTAACGACTCCACTGCCTTTTTTCCCCCAAGATGAGCTTATGAAAATGAAAGACACAAACTGTCTGTGAGCACCTGTCATTAACATACACTACTTACACATATCACACATGAGGACATCCTGCCTTTAATTGACAAGAATGGTTATCAGAGCTGTTATCAATCCGTCTACTGCTCAAGCGGTCTGTGATATATTTTGTTCTGGCAATGTGTGGCATGCTTTTCAATCACGTGTTTTAATTCGATCAGGAATGAGCCAAGTGACCATTTGTGTGTAAGAGAGTGCAGCAGAACTATCCTGCATGTTTGAGTGCTCTACAGGAACGCATGGACTATACAGCAGGATGATACACAAACCTGCCAAACTATAGAGACCTGGCAGCCTTGATTGCAGGTCTCTGGGTTGCACTGACCCTGCTGAAGACGTTCACACCCTCTCACACTTCACATGCACACCTGAGTCACCTCTCTGCAGGAGGACAGGAGAGAAGAGAGGGAGCGGGCTAAGTGGGACTGGCTGACGAGCAGAACAGCATGGAAGCCGTGTCATACTTGTTAATAGCAGAGTAAGACCCTGCACACAGTCATTAGGTCTAATTACATGCCAAAGTGGGCAATAGAAATGAAGTGCAGAATGTAAACAGTAATCATTTTTTAGAGTGTTGTCAATTTAAATTGAAAAGAGATCAAAACAGGAAAGCAGCAACTCACCTGCGCACACACACACACACACACACACACACACACACGTAAAATGTAAAAACAATCAAATGTCACATCCTTCTACCTCACCTCGAACCAGCGCAGACTGGACATTTTTGGCTGAAGTCATTTTGACAAGTGAGCGTGTCACAGCAGCTCCTCAGTATGCATCTAACAAACACCAGCTCACTGTTAATTCTCTACAAATCAATACCAACGAGAAACCAAATACGAAAACTGGTGTCACACTTACCTTAATAAATGACGTCAAACTTCTTCTCCGCTTTTCAGTTTGCAATTTCTTAGATTACTCTGCTCAGTGAGGAGAAATAAAATCCCCCTTTTCTTTTCTAGCAAAGGGTGAAAACTGAAGTTGCTGTTGCCATTTTTATCCCGTGTATCCTGGAAGGCGCAACAGTGTGTGAACGTAAATCATCCTCTTAGCCACCTGGACTCTGTTTCTCTCTGCCCAGCGCCACTGATGGACGCTACCCAAGCATCAAGCTACCCATTCTAGCGTACAACCGGAAGTACCGCGAGATCCCCTTACAAAACAAAAGCGTCGCTGTCGAGTAGATTCAAACCGCTTCCGTCTTAAGTGTAATGTTGTTGTTCCAGTACAACCAGAACCAGATATAGTTTTTTATATTACCTGTTGACAACGAGTGTTGTTTTCATGGCCAGCATATATTACAGTGGCCTTTCGTTTCTATGATATCCAAATTGTATTTTAAAGTCTTCTCTGGGGAATCTATTGGTCTATTGTTCCCCTGACGGCCTCTTGTGGTGAATACAGGTATTACCATCTCAATTGTTACTTTTCAACACATTGCACAGTTACATTACCAGTGGTGGAAGAAGTAGTAAGATATTTTACTTAAGTAAAAGTAGTAACACCAAAAATGCACACAAACAAATGCAAATACTTATCGTACATCAGAGTTACGCCTCTTAGTGTGATATTTTTACATATTATATTATTGGATTATTATTAGCCCATTGTTGGATTATTGTTTATGTTTGACTGTACTACTTTATTCGTTTTTAGGACCCTGTGAGGTTGCTATCTACACTATAGTATGTCATTGTCCTTAATGTATTTATCTGTCATTATATTACTCTTCTTTTCTTTTTATCTGTGTGAGCATTACAGTATATTTTTAGCACATATTTTGTAATTTTTCACTGTTATTTTGACGTCATTGACCTTAATCTGTAAATTTGTGTTTAAATATATTTACTTTTTTTCCAGAATATGTGAGTTAGTTACAATATATTTATGCATTTATTCTATTTTCACTGCCATATCATTAACATGCCATGTGAGAAGTCATCATTGCGCTTTAAACCCTGATGAAGACTGATCTTTTTATCCAGTAAAAGTTAATCAAACACAGATTATTCAAAATGGACACAAGGAAGACGAGGGTATACAGTGTTAATTCAGATTTAAAGCATCTCGATTACTTTGGGAATTCTACTACAATTTGTTTAGGTGCATTTGTGAATCCTTGGGGGGGCACTCGCGAGAGGGGTCTAAAAATAGAATGGTCAAGATTGAGGCATAAGAAGCCAAGATATCTAGACTTTTATCCCCAAAATACTGGAACCTACATTTCTCATAATGCAACTCAACTGTCTACTTCATTTTCCCTTTCTGCCTTGCAAAATCCCTACTTTTTTCAAATCTTTCATGTTCATGGTTGTAACAAGCTTTCTGTTAAAACTTAAGGTAACCCTTATGACACCATTGGGTTTGTTTTTTTCTAACTTTGAAGACCCTCCAGAGCCACAGACCAAATGATACAGCTGTTTCTCTGGCTGAGTAGTGCCCCTTGTGCTGAACTTCATGAATAAAAAATGAATGGAGTGGCCCTTTAATACAGGAGCGGAGCAGAAACTGCACCGCGTTTGCACTACCAGTGCAAACCCACAAGAGAGTGCCAGAGCAACATGACGGAATGGGAGTCCTGTGACTGAGTCCCGTCAAAGTTTGTCACCGACAGGCACAGCTGTGGTTTCAGCTGCTCCTGTTGACATTAGCCAGAATGAAATATGAGTGAGTTATAAAACACCCTTGTGCAAGGCGTAGGAAAGAAACTTACTCATGTACTCCAGAAACTAGGTTATATTTAGACATCTGTTTGACAATGACGTGTGTACTGTACCGGTATATAGAAATTGTGTTGTTTGTTCATATAACATATTATATAAAGAAAGAAACTAATTAGGTAAAGCGTAAAGAAAGGCCAACACTCAATGTAGTATTTTTTATATATTTTTTTTATCTCAATCACCATCTCAGTGCAAGTCAGAATGAATTCATGTCAAAGCAATACCTCATGTGAGAGGTCAAACCTGATTACAAACCTTAAAAAACAAAAACACATTCAGGAGGATAATCTACAGTACCAATCTCGTCCTCTGCTCTTTAAAATCCAGTGTCCTTGTAGAAATCAGTTGTCTCAGTCTAAATTACATCTAACTAAATCACTTTGCATAATATTACCGGCAGAAATAAATACGCAGATTTGGATAGAGACCACAACCTAAAATGACCATAAGAGCAGATAACAGAGGGGGGTCCTCCCTTTTCAACTCTTCCTTTACTGTGAGTTTATGATTTGTTGTGTTTTCACTGATGTGGCCTCTAATGTAAACACATGATGGTGCAAAGTGACTTAGACCCTGCATACCTATTGTGTCACATGAAAGTTACTGGAAACCCTTTACATCATGGCCTCTAGGTTCATGGCGGTGTGGAACAGCGGAAAGAGCCGTGATAGTGCGTGCAAACCCGGCAGTAACAAGACTGAAAAGGTGGGGCTGATCCAAAATAATAAGCTATCTAAGAGAACCAAATCCATTTCCATGTGCATACGCATTAACTATACACCATGTTGTGTGCAGTGCGCTGTTGGGAAACACTTTTAGCAAGTGTTATATGAATTAAACAAACAAAAAAGCAGCACTAGTTCACTTATTTTACTTCATTTTACAATAATATCACTTTAGGTTTATTGAATCATAATTTTATCTGTGATTAAATTAGTTGCTTGAAGATCATTCTAGATCATTCTTAATATTCCCAAAGTAACTTTCGATATTTCTCTGTCCGTAATTTATTCATACTGTACGTTCTGTTCTAATTCCACTTCACCTTTTTTTATTTAACATATCATATCGCAGCACATTCTGTTGCAGTTACTGAACGGTAATTTATGGCATTTTTTTTACATCAGTATATGATAAGGAAGGTCGTCTGTGCGTGATGTCTGCAGATAACACAGAAGAGATGTGTCTCGGTTCACCACGCTCAGAGTGGACCATTCTGTCACCGCCCCACAGTCAGCTGATTACGCCAGTTTACCATCGTGAAACTAGAGGCCAATTATTGCAAATTCATACATTTAAATAGTCTCAAAAATAATATAATTACATTACATTACATTACAGTCATTTAGCAGACGCTTTTATCCAAAGCGACTTACAATAAGTGTATTCAACATATTCAAGAGAACTACTAGTCACCAGAGGTCACAAGTGCATCTCCTTTTTTAAACAAGCATAAACCTGAGCATAAGTACAGTAATTCAACAGTACAGCTGCACTTAATTGCATTGTTCCCTCTTCACATTATTTACAATTTAGGGAAAAAGTGATTAGGGTTCTCTCCCATAGTAGACCGCATAGTGGTCTTTTAACCCTTCTATTAGAGACACCAGCTGCTGCAGTCCTCAGATACACAACATAATGAAGGTTTTTAAACACATAATGTCACATGGAGATCTTAATCATTTGCTGTAAGATCATTCCTCATGCTTTTCTGATGGTCATACTTTAGGGAAACACATGTGAACTCCATTTGATGCTGGAGCTGTAGCACTGATTCACCTCTGCAGACTCTGATGAACTGGAATGTTACTTCTGCCCGCCACCGTCCAACGATCCAGATCATATTAGGTGGATGAGAAATTCAGTCTCCTCTCCCTCAGGCTGAGCCTCTGGGCCTCACTGGGGGAGACATTGTTCCTCCACAGCCTGAAAAGCACAATGGTGGTTCTAAACATGTTATACTCCCAATATTTAAATATACTTTAAAAACAAAACAAATTTAGCTGATTTGAAACATGTAGATGGCTTTACCAAGACATTAAAAGCTGTAGTGGGGAAAAAAAGAGGGCGACACCATGACAGGAAGTTTACCTGATGAGCTGCAGAGCAGGACACGACTGTAAGGCTGTAACCAGGGCCTCCGCTGCAGAAACACTCACAGCGTTTGACTCCAGACTGGGAGAAATAACAAACATACTGGACATTCATACCGTTGTATTCCCTCAAAGTGTGAATGTGTGGTGATTAAGTAAGTGTAATATAAAAGAAACTTAATTTACATTAAGTCTAAACCCATAAGGAGCAAATTTTATTGATTGCAGTGAAGACAAAAAATAATCAAAGTGGAAAAAATGTACTTTGAGTCCCAAACCAACCAGGGAATAAAGATTTAAGAAATGCAAAAACTATAAATGTGATTTCAGGAAACCAAAATCTTTAACTGATCTCTAATATCAAAAACTAAAACTAAATACAACACCGTAAATCGTACTGAAATGAAACAAAGAAAATATAACAACTGGTGTGTGTGTGTGCATTCACAAACTCACTCTATTCTCTTCAGCTTCTGACAGAGAGGCATAACTCTGACCAGCTCCTCTGCCACTTTATCACCACAATTGTTCCATCCCAGACTAGAAACAGAGAGAGACATAGCTGTGTAGCATCTCGAAACACAATCGATCCATCTTGACATTCAGCTCAGGGCTGACAAACTTCACACATTTGAATCATGTTTATGTCCCATATGCAGTGCCAAGAATGGGACGGCTTTGGAATTACCTACATTTATGCAAAATTCCCCCATGAAACGTGATCTGATCTTCATTAAAGTCTCTATGTAGATTAATAATAATCAGATAGTTGTTTTCCGAATTGGAATATTTTTTATATGATCTCAATACTAACAATCCATATAGGAAGAAGTATGTGAACCCTTTCACAAATTACATCTAAAAAAAGCTACTAAAAGTCAGTTTTGCCGATCAACGAGTTGAAACTGTAGTTAGTGGTTAGTTACGCCCTGTTCTGTAAAGAAACACATGAAAAGGATTGGTACCTGACACTCATGTGGTTGAGATAACTGCTGTGAATACACAAAAGCATGCTATTGTTTTCATGTTACCATTTCATGAAGATGTGGCTTCTCTAGTTTATTAATGATTGTATCATTAGACTTTGAAGAATATCAGAGCACATTTCATGACAGAACTGTGTATGACATGTAGGCAGCTTACAGCTGCTTTTGAGCTCTGTCACGCCAGAGAGTTGTGAGTGAAATGTCGTCACACAGTGTTGTGATTGTAAGCGGTAATGAAAGCAGGCTACCACTCTGGATCCAAAAACAACAGAGATGGTTCCACAGAGCACACAGGTGATGTTTTCAACTGTTGGAGCTACAACAATAGCCTTGGGTATTTAACCCTGTTAACACAGTCCACCAGAGGTCAATAGAGCACATGTATAAGTCAAAGATCACCATTTGAGCTCAAGGTAAACCCTTGCTGACATCCTGCTGATTTACTTTGCTGCCTCTTGATTGATTGCATGGATACAAGAGGAATGTGTTTGAACATTTTGACTTCAACACTTAGAATCTCATGCTATTTGATGCCAGTAAACTGCGCACTGTATTGTATTGTGAACCTTTAAAGAGATACTTGAGCAATCTGTAATATTTGTCTTAATCATTATTTACTGAATATGTATTATGTGATCCTTTTAAATCTTACCCCACATCCTGTATGAGGGGACAGTGGGCCAGGCTGGCAGCTACAGGACACAGCTCTGAAGTCCCAACAGAGGTCAGACTGCCAGACCATACGAGAAAAGAAACATTATTATATTATCACAGCTCGTAATAAGTACATCTAGTCATCCATCAGGGTTGCGGTTTCCAAAACAGCGGGAGAAGCTTGAGAGTCTTACTAGATCTTGGTGAGGTTCTTCATGCACATCATCGCTTTGGACAGGCTCACTGATCCTTCATGTCCAATCCTGTTCTCTGAAATACTAGAAAAAGACACATGTGCATAAAGAACATAAACCTCAGGACAACTGTGACAAATATACATCAACAAGAAATGTGAGTGTGTGTGACTTACTCCAGCACAGTGATGTGTGTCAGTGATGGTAGAACAAGGGCCATCCTGGCAGCAGTGTGATCACCGAGACTGTTGCTAGGCAGACTGTGAGAAAGCACAAACAGATGTTTTCAGTCTATACTGATATACAGTATGTCTAATTTACAAAATACAAACGATAGAAATAATACAATGATAAATAATACAGCTGAAGAGTTTACTTGGAAGAATGTTTTGCAGCAATGAACACTAATTGAAGACTAGAAATGTTTACATGTGGAAATATAAAAGTGTCAATTGGATCAATAGGAGACTGGGAGACACTGATTGCAAGCACAAGCGGTGCAAGCGTGAATGAACATGTGACAGAATTTACACATCTTACATTGTTTTTTTCAAAACAGCATTTACAGGAATGAGCCACATATAAAAACATGTCCTTACTGGAGCTCTTCCAGGTGAGTACAGCTGTTCAAAGCCTCCAGTAGCATGTCTCCAGATTGGTCGCTGATAAGGTTCTTTGATAGACTGGAAGCAGACACATGGACACACACACACACACACACACACACACACACACACACACACACACA